CAAATACAAATATATATATATATATATATATATATATATATATATATATATATATATATATATATATATATATATATATATATATATATATATATATATATATATATATATATATATATATATATAGTTAGAATTTATGAACTATTTCAGCATCAGGTGAAATGGTTTGGCCATATAAGGCTAATGTCAGCAGACAGCATACCACAACAAGCCATGATGAACAGACCAGAAGGAAAGCAAAGAAGAGGCCGACCATGCAAGGAATGGACAGAGGAAATTACAGTCCCTGGGAATCCCAGTTTATAAAGCCCAAAAATGGGCACTTTCCCAAAAATTATACTAGCCCTCGAGACCGCAAGTTACAAGAGGATCAAGATGAGATGAGATGATGATGAAATTATATCAGATGTGAAAGTTACTGACAGCTAGAGAGAGAAACAACACATTAGAAATGGCATTGTCCAATTATATGTATACTCAGAACAAGAAACAAACAACTAGAAAATCTAATTTAGTCATTAGAGAAGTGGATATCCAGAAGAATAGGTTGTATATCATAAAAACTTCTTTTTAAAATTCACCAGCTGTAAACTTTGTCAGAAAGCTCTTATTTCTCATCCACTTCTAGACTTTTGTTCCAAAACATGAGTTTTGCATGCACTTTTTACAGACTGTTAGTTCCTTGCTTCCCATGCAGATGCACCCCGGCTTCAAAGTGAACACTCCTAACCAATTGCTGCGTATATAAAAGTAAAGGACCCTTTTCCAAGCCTTCAGGCATTTTCGGTATGTAGGGTGATGTGGTCAACATCACGCCGGCTGCCTTTACTTCCCAGGACTTGTACCTGGTACCCACTCAAGAATAGGTCGACCTGGGAGCCAAGATCATTTTTTTTAAAGTCTGGCTCTGTCAGCACCTGAATCTACAACCTTCCAATCTGCAGGTAAGTGTCAAGCTACTATACCACCAAGTGCTGATTGGTCTGTAAAATATAGGTCTATCCCTATACGCCCAAAATGCCTAAAGGTGTGGAAACAAGTCCTTTACTTTTTTAACTTTTTTTTTTTCTGCCAACTAATTTCCTTAATCAGGGGATCTCTGCATCCACTTACTCTACAATCTATTCTAATCATAATAAAAATTACTATCAATAAAAACGCAGGTCTCCCAAGTGAAAAACCCAGGTTCTCCTTCACTGGCTGTAAACTCCAATGGAGAGGGATGTTCGTCCATTTTGACTTTTGCTTGGTGCCAAGACCTGAATTTTGTGTGTACGTCTTTTTTACTGGTTTATTTATGTGCAGCTGGTTGTTCCTTACTGCACATGCATTCCGACTTCAAAAGAAAGCTCCCAAATAGTTGAATCCATCGACATGCTTGTTGGCAGGCAGTGGATCTACTCTTGTTTTCCCCACAACTTGGTTCTGGAACCCACACAGGGAAAACCCAGGTTCAAATCCTTGGTAAGAATGTGGATTATGTTCTGTCGGGGACAAAAATACAATCCTAACCTGCACAGTCTATGGCGACAGTACTAGCAATGTGGCCCCAAATGCTCAGGCTCAAAAACCACCCTGCCTATACTGCAAAAAGTGGTAAATACATGCAGCAATGGCAGTTTCTGATGTTTTATCCACTTATAAACAAAAGACGATTTATGACAAGTATCATCAGGCAGAAATTCCTTTGGCAGAATATAACTACCATTGCCAGTAAAAATAGACACCACCGCCTCATGTACAAGTAAAATCAGGGAGAAATTCCTTTTGCAGAATATTACTACCATTGCCAGTAAAAATAGACACCACCGCCTCATGTACAAGTATTATCGAGGAAGAAATTCCTTTTGCAGAATATTACTACCATTGCCAGTAAAAATATACAACACTGCCACATGTACAAGTATCATCAGGCAGAAATTCCTTTTGCAGAATATTACTACCATTGCCAGTAAAAAAAGACACCACCGCCTCATGTACAAGTATCATCAGGGAGAAATTCCTTTTTGCAGAATATTACTACCATTGCCAGTAAAAATAGACACCAACGCCTCATGTACAAGTATCATCAGGCAGAAATTCCTTTTGCAGAATATTACTACCATTGCCAGTAAAAATAGACACCACCGCCTCATGTACAAGTATCATCAGGGAGAAATTCCTTTTTGCAGAATATTACTACCATTGCCAGTAAAAATAGACACCACCGCCTCATGTACAAGTATCATCAGGCAGAAATTCCTTTTGCAGAATATTACTACCATTGCCAGTAAAAATAGACACCACCGCCTCATGTACAAGTATCATCAGGGAGAAATTCCCTTTTTGCAGAATATTACTACCATTGCCAGTAAAAATAGACACCACCGCCTCATGTACAAGTATCATCAGGCAGAAATTCCTTTTGCAGAATATTACTACCATTGCCAGTAAAAATAGACACCACCGCCTCATGTACAAGTATCATCAGGGAGAAATTCCTTTTGCAGAATATTACTACCATTGCCAGTAAAAATATACACCACTGCTTTATGTAATTTTAATAACTGCATAAACAATAATCAACATCTTCAACATGAAACATTCTTAACTGCTTTATGGGAGAATTTTAACATTATAAAATAATATTGTGGCATTCATTAAAATATTAATAAAGATAATGAGAATTTCCTATTTAAATATCACAGCTTAAGTGCCAATGTGGCAATAAAATAACACTAGACAACTGACCTAGTTTACAAATTAATTTCAGCTTGGTTACTAATCTGGTGGTTTTAATGATAAAATCTGCATGGATAAACGAGCAGATGATGCTTCTGCTAAATTTTGATTTTCTTAAAGCATGCAGAAAAGTAATATGTTTAAAGCACCACTGATTACTGGCATGAGGGCTAATTGACTGAAATGACTGGGGCATTCTGGGAGAATGTCAGATGACGGAGAGGAAAAACTCTACACACATCTATCTATCTTGTTTTAACCCACCAGGACATCACACAAGCGATAAACACCTGATGATACAAAGTGCCACTATGTGGATGAGGATCACCCATGGAGAGGTCCCAGAAACCGTGTTCAGCCATTAGGACCATATTTTTGGCCCGGCTATATTGCAGCCCCTGGCAAGAGTCAGAGTAGGGCTTCAAATAACAAAAAATTGCATCCCACAGAGGGATGACAAGATATGCTTGCAATACACACATGGGAGCTGAATGGTGATTTCCGCAGAAATGAACCTCAAGGGCTTGGGATGCTCAAAAAGAAGAAGAAGATGTAGATGAGTGGTTATGATGTCCACCTCACATACCACTGGACAAGGGTTTTGTTCCTTGTCCACCTCACACACCACTGATCCTTGGATAAGAAATTACAATCCTAGCTTGTATACAACATGGTACCAGCTTCAACAAGCAGACTTTCTAAGCCTCCAAACACTTTTCTGACAGACATCAGCAGTTAAATAAATGTCACAATATTGTTTACAGTTTTTATGTGAAAGGTAGTTGTCTGATAATGGATACTGTTGCTGGAGTATGAAGTGTGAAGCCTTCAAATATTCTAGGTCAGGATATATGTCTGGCTCGGTTGCCGATCATATGATAGACTGTGACGCCTAGCGGCACAAGCAGATTTTGACAAAAGAAGAAGGATATATGTGGCTGGGAAAGACCATTTTGGATTCTCACAATCTTTATGTAAATAAAAACAAAAACCTCTGTTAAGTAACACACTTTTATGTACCAGGAACACCTTGACTGTTCAAATTAAAAAACAATTTTGAAGGTGGTGTTCTCTTGTCGAGGAGTTACCAAGTATGCACCTATGAAAATTCATCAGTATAACGAGTGACTGTGAATGTCTGCTGCATACTAATTAGTGATTTCAGAATCAACACCATAGCATACCTATAGATACTCTTTCTCCCGCAGTCTAAAGGTGTAGATGCTTACTGTTCCAGTAACCTCACACATCGTATGACATATATTTAACCCTCAGTAAGGCTTATGGTTGTTTTTTAAATTTTAGTCAATATATCACATCATGAATGCTTTTTGCAAGTAGCTTTTATTCCTTAACTTGTACAAAATCTGGCACATATCAGAAGTGGCACATTATAAAACACACACACTGATATCTAATTTCAAATTGTACTTGATCTCTTTGGCAGTCTTTTTCTTCTTTTCACTACTCTTAGAATGCTCATGGCATCACGGCAGGAAGAGATTGAAAAACAGGCCTTTCTATTCGCTTCATTTAAAGTACTTTTCTGTGTCTCTGATATTTCTTCAGTCCATCTTCTACGTGGTTGATCTCTGGCTGGGTTACCACTGTATCGGTATAATAATGCTCTCTGCAGTGTAATGCCTGATACCAGTCTTTTTACCTGGCCAAACCATTTGACTTGTTGTCTACCTAAAGTTCAGCATTGGTTCTGTGCCGACTCTTCTCCTGATATCATTGTTCTTAAGTCGATATTTCCTAGCTACACCTAGTATAGTAGTACTAAACATTTCATTCCTGTCATGACTTTTTCATTCTGTCTTCTAAAGACAGTGTCCATGTTACATACTAATAGATAGCAAAGAGTTTATAAGAACTGATGAGAATATTATGGTGAACAGTTCTTTTAGTGTTAAAAATCACATGCTTGCATTTCAAAATTAGTGCCATTTGGCCTAAAACTTGACTGACTTTATTGCATCTTTGCTGCATTTCTTTGGCAGTGAGATTGTAGCCTTCTCAAATAAGAGCATAAGACTGGATGGCCCAATAGCAAGCTATACACATAAGACATCCCAATCAGCATCAGAAAGTGGATGCTGCAAGACCAATGCTCTGGCAAAATTGCTAGGAAGAAACATCAAGACAAGGCTTGATGCCTTGAACATAATCTGTCTAGAGGCATGCCTAACAAAATACACGCAGATCACACAGAAAACCATTTCTGTTTTTCTTCTTAAAAATGTGGTTATACTTTCCTCTGTCCCTGCATGACTCAACTATGTGGTAACCAATTTTCTACAGACCTCATATTTTATATCATTTGTTTCATAAAATCCATTAGTTTTACAGTGCTGAAAATACTGTTTTTGCTTCTCGACACTTATATCAGCCGACTTCTGTAAAGTTAGCGCTAGGAAAAAATTATTCACAAAATGTATCTGGGCAATGTCGCAAACTTTACTCAAAAAATGTCCTGACACATACCTGAAGATAACACACAGCTCGGCTAGCCTGTGGTCTAAAAGCTTCAGAATGACAAATCCTAAACAAGAAATCAAAGCTAACAAGAAAGTAATCAAAACACCTTGTGCTGGATGTCGCCTGTAGGCCAGCAGAGCCCCACAAATAGCGCCAACAATATGGAAGCCTAAAGAAATTTCAAATCCAAATTTAAAGCACAAACTAAGCAGGTAGCTGATTAATGAGCCAATCATTATAAAAGCTGCACGTTTGTTACACCACCCATACTGGTAGTAAAAACCCCAAACTAAAAGAAGCGAAAAGAATGGTAAGGTAGACCATTGATCTAGAACAGACCAAAGAACACCTTGTGTGACAATTCTAAGGAGCTGTACACAGCCATAAATTACACAAGATATGTTAAAAGTATAGAACAGTACAGAGTCTTTATCTTTTAAAATCCCATAAGCAGAAGCTGTATGTGTCATCCCACACCAGTAAAGACCAAGTACAACATATCCTAGATTCACTAGCGAATTCAAAGGCATTATATTACAAACTGGCAACCAGGCTGGTTCAGCATAATGTTCCATGCCAACATCCAAATCCACATGATTGAACAGTCCAGAGTAAGCTGAAATAATCATTCCACTGAGAGGGAGTAGGATGTAGATCATCACAGAGGTCATCAGATCCATGCTTCATCCAGGAACAGTACTAAAATTCTTAGGCAGTCACTGCATAACAGCTGATGTTTTTGCCTGGAGTACAACTCACAACAGCCGAATCTGTGAAAGATAACAGACAATAACATCATATTTGCTGCTGACAACAAGTTCTTCTTATTTCTGCATTCACCTTTAGAAGGGCAATAGCCACATTGTGTTGTGGTTTACAGCTAGGCTGCAAAATCTATGCCTTTCAAACCATCAAATTTCAGCAAAAGCTTAATTAGTCACCTTTTATTATTTGAGTTTTAAGGGACAGCAGGTTAATTCCCCCCCCCCACCTTAACTACGGCCCTGGAATTAACACAGGGAGACAAGTTGGGAGTATGAACATTATCGCACCAGGTTTAATATATATCCACTCTTGTTCAACCGCTCTGCAGAGTAGCAGGCCACCTGCACAGAGTGTCACACAAAGCACACATGCCATAGTTCTAGGGATGACCCCTAGAAATGTCCCCAAAAATTGCCCCCATAAATCAAACAACCCAATTAGGAAAATAAAAGCACATTTAAAATGTGAAGCAAAAGACTTAATCACTTCATCATGTTGACACTATTATACCATTTGCTTTAGATATTTTCTTCCAAAGAGAATACATGTTAACCATTAGTGAATTCTGTATGCATTTTGTGTATTCTTCAGCTCTTGTGTTTTTCTTTGACTACCTTGGCTCCGTACCCAACAACAATGGTAACTGTTCAAAGAGAATCACAGTGATCAAGAAGAAAACACATAACAATGGTTTTTACTGCCTGTATTGATCACTTTTAGGGTGGTGTATAGGAGTGGGTCTTGAGCGGGAAAATTTAGGATCACATAGCCAGTGCAGTTGCCACTCATCACAAACTTAGCAGATTAGAATTTTCATTCCCCCCCCCCCCCCTTCCACCCCGACAAAACATATCCATCCCTTACCAAGTATCATACCTGGGCCTCCTACAAGAGAGCTCTGCACTCTAACCACTTGGTCAGCCACTGAAGAACAGCAACAGAACGCATACTTTTTATAAAACAAAGAATTAAATGATTAATATAATGTAAACCCTGGGAATGAAAATGCATAAGGCAGGTAAAGTCAAGAACGACTCAGTTTCAAGCAAGCTGTGATGTAAGCCTTAGCAGGATCAAGTCTTTCAGCAAGCTGTGTTACTGTTTATGTCTTTCCATTATTCCAGAATATAGTGCTATATTGTGCTATAGCTAGAGTGACAACATGCCCTGGTTGCCACTCCTGTGACAGTCCTGTTTTTGAAGAGTGCCCCAACCATCCAGTCAATTCTAAAAAAAAAAAAAAAACTCCAATTGTCCCGCTTTAACACACACATCTGGGAATTAGCTAGAGAATAGAAAATGCACTTTAGTTATATTTGTAGACCTTTTTAGATTTAACAGTTTTAGATAATTTTTTTTTTTATACCTGAAATATACTGATGGGAATTTTCTTTCAAGCATGTATATTTTCCTCCTGTCAGTTAAAGACCACATTGTTTTGTTTATTTCTTGGCGACAATGGTCTGGCACCACTGTCAGGCAAGTAATTAACCCATTCGCCTCTGTGACATAAAAAAAGGGGAGGGGGAGGGATGCTTGGGATGTCTCGTTATCAGCTCAAAAGATGTCCCATTTTCCCCTCAAGACATGATGGACACTTTAGCTATAAGGAGGTAAGACCATGAATATAGCAAGCTGTGATATAATCGTGGAATAATAAAGTATTCCAGCAAGTTGTGATGAGGCATCAAATTTCAGAGAGATGTTATGAGGGTCCGAGAAGGATTAAGTTTTCCAGCAAGCACTGAAGAAAGCTATGTTCTGCAAGCAAGGGACATGCCACATTATAACGCTATTTGTTCTATGTTCGGCATGTTACTGGGAATGCAGGGAGGTGCAAAGGGAGAAAGGAAATGACAGATTATCCTCTCACATTTTACCACCCAAAGATAGCCAGACTTTTTATTTTTGTAATGACCTTGGCTTTCTTGTTGACTCAGCTTCAAACAGTACAAAATAAAGTCCTTTGAAGTAAAGACGACCAAAGTGATGTTAAACACATCTCCCACAAAGCACTGTGTGCTCTATAAAATATAGTTCCAGCACTATACGCATAATACAACTGAAGATGTGGAAAATGGTCCTTATTTCACTTTCAATAGTTGAATGTGGTATCTTGGAATTGATCCAGTTGGGCTGTCATTTGAATAGTGATTCCTTGAGACACTTGATTTCAAATCTTTAAAGTACAGTCTGTTGTTGACTGCTGAATTGAAAATCTACAACATGGCACTCGGGACAACACTTCCATAAGTGCTCCATCCCAATCTTCAGCAGCAAGCGAAGAGTTCCAATTCCGATGGTACCAGAAACTGACTTTACATCCATCTCGCCTTTCCCTTGAGTGTTGAGCATCAGCCAAATCCCCTGGCAACTCCTTGCAGTGAAATTCTCCTCAAATTGTAATGATCTATTTCTGCCTCTGCACTGTTCACTCGCTCCCAAAGGGCCCTCGCAACATCTAGCTTGTCATTCATTAATTCATCACCAAGTGGTGCAGAACTGACCAGTCCATCTGCCTGCTCATTTCCCAACATATCAGCATTACCTGCAGAAAATATTGGAACGATGCTAACTACCTGGGACCTCTGAAAAGTACAAAGTACGGTTTCAGAGCGGGGAATACAGATAGAAAAAAGTAATAAAAGTGTCATAAAGGATATTCACATACACAGATGAAGTGATATGATCACATACATACAATTGATAGTGGTAACTTCTTCTTCTTCTTCTTCATGTTCACCAGCAGTAACTCCAGCGGAAAGTTCTGGCTGTGAGTTCATTTTTGGAATTGCCCTGTCCAGAATTTGAGTTTTGTGTACACATTCGTTTTATAGGTCTGGCTTATCTGTATGCACACTGCTGGTTCCTTGTCTGTTGTACAGATGCAGTTTAAGTTTTAAGAAATCCTCTAATTAGTCGAGTCTTAAATCATGCTTGTTAGAGAGGCAGTGGGTCTATTCTTGTTTATCAAGACCCACATGTTGCTGTAAGTTCCTGGAAAAATATTAAGTAGAATTATTTTGGAAAGATTAAAAGATGCTATTGATAAAATTCTAAGAGATGAGCAGGCAGGTTTTCGGTCAAACAGATCCTGTACTGATCAGATAGCCACATTATGTATTATAATAGAGCAAAGCATTGAACTGAACTCACCACTTTACATTGGATTTATAGACTATGAAAAAGCATTTGACAGCATTGATAGGGAATCTCTCTGGAAATTGATGGGGCGCTATGGAATCCCACAGAAAATTATCAACTTAGTAAAGGCAACATATAAAGACATGACATGTCGAGTTCTTCATGAGGGAAAGCTAACAGATGCATTTGAAATAAAAACAGGTGTGCGACAGGGATGTCTTTTGACGCCTCTCTTATTTTTACTAGCTATAGACTGGACTATGAAAACAGTAACTGCTAACACCAAGAATGGAATTCAGTGGACCCCTACAAAACAGCTTGATGATCTGGACTTCGCTGATGATATTGCTCTTCTGTCCCATTCACGGAATCAGATGCAAGATAAATTAAATATACTTAATGCCAGATCACAGCAGCTTGGTCTGAAAATCCATAAAGGAAAGACAAAGATAATGAGAATAAATCAGGCAAATAGTAATGTGGTTTCTCTTAATGGCACCCCACTCCAAGACGTGGAGTTGTACACCTATTTAGGCAGTAATGTAGATAAAGATGGAGGAACTGATAGAGATATTAAAATAAGAATACAAAAGGCAAGAGGGGCTTTCATAGCACTAGGGAATTTGTGGAGGTCAAAAGAAATACTAAACTAAAAATTTTTAATTCTAATGTCAAATCAGTACTATTGTATGGGGCGGAAACATGGAGAACAACCAAGGCAATTACTAATAAATTACAGACATTCATTAAATGGTGCCTGCGCAGAATAGAGGGAATAAAATGGTATGATAGAATAACTAATGTAGAACTTTGGGAGAGAACTAAACAGGCTCCAGTGGATCAGGAGGTGAGGAAAAGACGCTGGTGTTGGATAGGGCACACACTGAGAAAACAGGAGAACAGCATAACTAGAATGTCTTTGCAGTGGAACCCACAGGGGCATAGGAATAAAGGAAGGCCAAAAAACACATGGAGAAGAGAGCTGGAGAATGAGGTTAGAAAGATTGAGAGGACATGGGGAGAGCTCCATGCAATGGCGAAGGACAGAACGACTTGGCGTGAGTTGGTTGAGGGCCTATGCTCCATTGGGGGATAGAAAGGCAGAAGAAGAAGAAGAAGAAACCCACATGTGTTATAGTGGGAACTGAATATGGAGATTTTGTTGAACTATTCATAGTTTTAAATGGGATATTATGAGTTTTTGTATTATCATATCCACTGTTCAGACAATTATAGATTATTTATGCTTGTCTGGTACTTATCACAAACTTGCCCGTATAGAGTATAGAAAGAGCTCCTTTCCCTCCCATTGATGCTGCAGCAGGTCGCAGGGCATGTTCTATGTTGTGGGGGTGTCATGTATTCCTTACTTTCAACGGTTTAACCATTCTCTTCTCTCATGTTGTCACCGCTAGCTTGTGTGATTTTTTCGACGTTGTGCTACTTGCCAGAGGGTTTATGAGTATTGAAACTGGGATGTTTTTGTATTTCTACATTCCTTGACAGTGGCTTATGTTTCTGGGGGAAAAGCCACTGTCAAGGAATGTAGAAATACAAAAACATCCCAGTTTTGATACTCACTAAAAGTCGCAAAGCCCTCCCTCCCCCCCCCCCCCCCCCCCCCCCCCCCCCACTACCTATTACTTGTGCACAGAACTTCCAGTCAAAATGGACGCTAGGCACGTTCACCGTTTTGTGCTGTGGCAAATTTTTTGCTTCTGCCAGATGGTGGCTGTTGCATTTTTGCTCCATTTGTAGACTGAAAGGATTTAGTTGTGTCGCCCAGCTTCTGAGTTGAGTGCATGGCATGACCCTGTGAGCTGCAGATTTCATTTGGAATGTTTTTTTACTGGGACCAACGTGGTGTTGTGAAATGTAGATTCAGAAAATGGTGCGATGCCTGTCGTCACAATATTGGTGGTGCCATTTTGTGATTAAAATTGATCGCGTGTGTGGAATGCTGATCTGTTGGTGACTTCTGCTATCATCCATGATGAACTGCATTTCGGACTGTTTGTGTTAGCACTTCGGATGGCTACCGTATGCTTTTAATACGTGTATACGCTAGTGCATTTGCTGAGACCACAGTCTGTCAATCTTTCCACAAGGGACTGTGATAAACATTCTGTGTTTTTTTTTCTTTGGCACAGGAGTGGAGCAACTATGGGGTGACCCGTTTGCTATGAAGCTGAAACTCAGATTATCGGATTACACAGGCGCCCGAAAGAGACTAACGACAACACAGCCTCCCACAAGAGAGCAAACACCAAACAAAGCCATCTCATAACACCCCTACAACACAGGACATGGGAGGGAAAGTTTGGGCTTTATAACAGTCGCTAGTTGGACGGAGGCGGCTGCTTAGTCGGAGTTCAGTCCCCTGGTTGCAGTGCAATTACGGAGTGGAAAAGAGGGAACGATACAAATGATATAATTAGGGCTAGGGTTCGGCTAATGTGAGTCGCAGCGCATGGTCTAGACGCCATGTTTAATTCACTGTGTTTTGTGATTTGTGCCTTGTCCACTCCGTAATTGCACTGCAGCCAGGGGACTGAACTCCGACTAAGCGGCTGTCGCCGTCCAAGTAGCGACCGTTATTGCAAGGAGAACCCAAGTTTGTGATAAGTTTCGTCTAATAATAATACTTTTGGCTGAAAATAGTAGTACTAACTAACTACCAACTACTATACTATTCTTCTTTTTTTCCACCTTGAACCTCATTGAAGTTTCAATCGTTGATGAGCTTTGATTTACGTGATTTTGGATTTTGATCAAATAATTTTGCTATGCAAAAGAAAGTCTAAAGACATGTTCTGGCCGAATTGTTTGAAAACCGTAACATCCGCTTACTTAGCTTAATATAAAATTTAATACGAATAAAAGTAAATGCAATACTGCATAAAACTGGACCTTCTACAAGTAAGACAAAAGTTGAGAGATAAAACTTACTTGTATAGAAGTTTGCATTATATTAGAATTATACTTTAACTAAGCTTTGACTGACTTGCTCAGAAAGTTTGTGATATGGTAGAACGGCGTTTGTTTGGGCACGTTCTGAACTATATATAAATAAGTATAACCTTTCACCTGCTGGTCTTGCATAAATTGTATACAGAGCTATGCAACAATTAGACAAGATAAATTCATTGGATAAACTTTATTTTTAAATATTCAGTATATTATATATTTGACAAAGACTGATTCTGTCTTATATCAATAAAAATAAATTTAGCAATTAAACGCTTTTAAAAAATGCGAAAACAGTAACTGACTTTTAATGTCACGTGATATGTAGATTGTGTTTACGAAATCTCATGAATTTCTCCTCATTATTTTTTTCCCATGATATTGTTGGAAGTATTTCCAAATTTAAGTTAAAATATATTTAAAGGCACCTACAGAGGAAATTAAAAACGGTTTTGGTAACGTATTTTCATGTAGTTTCTTCGTGGCGGCCATATTGAAGGCAAGCACTACTTTGCATATGTAAATCTTGTTTTCACATACGGGCATTTCTCAGTTTTGGCATCTGTGTTTCAATATGGCGGCTCCCATATTGAAGTGGAAGAGAGTTACTAATACTTCGGGACCTGCTCCTAGACCTCGCCATGGCCACCGAGCGGTTGCAATTAAAGATCTTATGATCGTATTTGGAGGCGGTAATGAAGGCATCGTGGATGAGCTGCATGTTTACAACTCATGTAAGTAAAATTTGTTTACCCCCCGTTCATATGATCCACTGCTGGCTCCATATTTTAATATGGCGGTTTTTTTTGTTGTGCTTGTTTAGCACAGTTCGGAGGTTTGCTAAATAGTAGATAACGCCCCGTTTTTGCACGAATTAACTAAAATAAAAACAAGACAATCATTTCTTTAAGTCAGCTGATTGATTTTATATATTTTTGTTTTGTTTTTTTAGTTTTCCACTTGTAGCGGCAGTTACTGTTGAGGTCTCAGTGGACGAATCCAAATAATCAAAATGGCGGCGCCCTACTAATTTAAGCCATTAAGTTATTTAGATATATTTAGATAAAATACAAGAAACAAATGAACGTGACGTTTTATTATTATTGTAACCTTTGTTTACTGTCAGTTTAAGCGAATGTTTATGTAAAGCTACATACAGACATAAAGCTATCTATATTTAAAAACTGCGATTGGGAAGGCAATATTCAATATGGCGGCTTTCAAGAGTAGTTGAAATATCGAAGCGCCGAGGTTTTGCGAGAGTTGCAGAAATTTGAGCTTACCGCGATTGTCGCCAATTTTTACCGAGTGCGTCTTTACTCTCTTTCTTACACTTACTTAATTGGCAGCGCCTTAACACCTGTGCCTTCACACCTGCTCAGTACAGACGCAAACACTTACCAGTTGTTAGTGTTCCTCCTGTTACTGATTACTGTTATTAGCACCTCTGCATAGCATACAATGTATGATACATAGCCTGTGATAGTAAATCATTATTATCTATTATCTTAAGTCTGACAAACCCATTTTAATAATAATCAATAATCATCAGTTTATTCCACTTCTGCCCTTTGCCTTTAACCCTACCAGACCTGAGGCCCTGAACCTAACTGTCCCTATAACCTGAGCTCCTGGGCATTCATTACCGCGATAAAACCAACATGATATAATACAGAAATATTAGTTACATGCAAACGAGTGGCTAGAATATGATGAAACTTGGAGACATTGTTGAAAATAGGCTTGCCTTTTATCTAGTGCCAATATTCCACCTTTGTGTGCGAATTCACTCATCAGGATCAACTTTGTTTCACAAAGTGAACACCAGATGTTGCCGTTTGATGGACACACCCCCTCCTCCTACTATCAATCTATTTCAAGATTGATAATTTTCAAGATTTTCCTCATCATTCGCGCTCTCACTGATAGTGTTACAGGGTGTGAATAAACCAAAGTATCAAACACCTGTTGGACTGGGAAGAGCCTAGAACTTGGTTCATCAGCCGCTCGTTTCATTGTGAATTTTCATAATTTGTCCACGTAAAAGAGCACAAGTATAATCCACACATGCGGGCAGACATTTGCAATGTCTAACAAAGAGGATTGATAACGATTGGGTGGTTATTTTTAGTCCGTGAGGCATCGTTTCCCGTACTACGCAAAAAGCCGAAAATTAGGGCCAGCGGTATAGAAACTGGTTGAGAAATCCCAGGTAAACCGGGCTAGCGGTCTGGTAGGGTTAAACATTGTGGTGAGGAACAGTCTGCGACCCATTGCTTTATGGTTCCTACACAAATTTCAAATTTTAAAAGTTGTCAGCAATAGCAACTGCTTTACTAATACTGTCATTAGTGTCTCAAGAAAACTGTCTTAGCTTAGTATCATCATTGTCATGTGTATAGTATAGAAAGCACACATCTTTTGATAACATAATCAATGGTTTTGCATTTAGGGAATCAAGGGGAAAAAATATATTTTCAGTTTAAACCTTTTAGTGGATTGTATAATTTCTTTGATTTTGAATTTTTTTTTTAAATATTTCTATGTAAATTGAACAATATATTTTCATCTGCATTATCCATATATTTAAAAGGTGTATGTATGGTTTCTTTAAGTAGCTGGTATAATTTAAATTTAAAATGGTAGAGGCCTCGGAAGGGCTTTATATAGCTTAGGCCTCCTCGAGTCTGGCCCTGGTTGTTAGCAGCTTTACTCGGTCCATCTTTGCTTGCACAGGAAACTCTTTAATTTGAATACCTGGGCAAGCACATACAGTTTCAAGCCATTACATGTACCTTATCTGCCCCTTATCAAAGAGCTCCAGCAACAATATTTAGGGATCTCTGTAAACCACCACTTTCAGAGTGAGTGGCAGACTGCTTGACCCCTTTTCCTGCCATTGACAGCTCAGGGTGAAAAGCTGGAGTTCAACACATCTAACAACTTGATAAAGAAAGGAGAAAGACCATGAGAAAATATTTGTCTTTAAGGAAAAAATCATGCCCTCTGCAGCCAAATTTGTGGCGATAGTACTAGCTCTTGGTGGTTAGTTGCGTATCCTTTACAGGACGTTGCAGAACCAACCCCCGCAGCCCCTGGCTGTTGTGTGGTTTCTATAGGCAAATTTACATCTAGTAGTTTGTCATTGCTTTCTGGAAAGTCAGCCCACTGATACCAATGTCAAAACTAAAGCAAGGCGCATGGCCTGCCGCTGGGATAAAACTCGGCATTACGAAGCGTTCGCATCGACTTAGCCGCAGAGCCCAGTCAGTACTAGCTCTACAGTAATCAATTCTTAAAAGACCCTGGACCTGTATCCTACACCACCAAAAAAAAAATGCTAAATACATGCATTGTTTTTTTTTTTTAACCGCCGTCTTAGGTTGCATTGTATCAGTAGGTAAAAGATATCTTTGCACAATTTGTGGATTATGTATAGGATGTTTGAATTATATTTTATATACAGGCCAGCGGGCACTCGATGGGTCAACATCACATGGCTGTTTATATACAGGCCAGTGGGCACTCGATGGGTCAACATCACATGGCTGTTTATATACAGGCCAGCGGGCACTCGATGGGTCAACATCACATGGCTGTTTATATACAGGCCAGCGGGCACTCGATGGGTCAACATCACATGGCTGTTTATATACAGGCCAGTGGGCACTCGATGGGTCAACATCACATGGCTGTTTATATACAGGCCAGTGGGCACTCGATGGGTCAACATCACATGGCTGTTTATATACAGGCCAGTGGGCACTCGATGGGTCAACATCACATGGCTGTTTATATACAGGCCAGTGGGCACTCGATGGGTCAACATCACATGGCTGCCTTTGCTTTCTAGGACATTGACCTGTACTTAATTAAAGCTGGGAACTGAGGTCAGTTTTGATGGAATGGGGGGGGGGGGTAGCTGCGGCTCTCTAATTTATCAATATTTATTTATATTTGACCTAATGAACTGTTGTTCCATTACAGCTACCAACCAGTGGTTTATACCAGCTGTCAGAGGGGATATCCCTCCCGGATGTGCTGCATATGGCTTTATCTGCGATGGTACCCGCATTCTTGTGTTTGGTGGTATGGTCGAGTATGGAAAATACTCAAATGAACTCTATGAATTGCAAGCATCCCGGTGGGAATGGAAAAGACTTAAGCCAAAATCGCCCAAATGTGGACCTCCACCATGCCCTCGGCTTGGTAAGATTTCTGTTTGTCTTGGTATGTTCAGTTTTGAAGATGTTACAGAAAGGTTGAGTTGGAAATCCACAAGAGATAGTGTTATACCTTTCACACCTGTCCCTTTTAAATTCTGTGGTGTCCATTCTAAAAAGCTTTTGAACAATTAAAACCATGCTTGTCGCTCTTTGTTTTGGTCAGGGAGCTACTATTGCAAATCCAGGGCTCAGTATTATATCACTATTTCCCCTGTGTGGGTTCCAGGGTCCCATTTTGGGGGGAAACAAGAATAAACCCGCTGACTCTCCAACAAACTTGTCATAGGAGTTGGCTGATTGAGAGCTTTCTTCGAACAACCAACTGCACACAAATAAGCCAGTAAAATGGATGTATACACAAAACCAAATGAATGAACAACTAGGCTTTTCTGCCAGAGCTTACAGCTGGTGATCAATAAAGAAGTAATACTACTTTTTAATACTATTTATTAATAGCAGCTGGCTGTCCTCAGAACGCTGGCCTCTCTTGTGAAGGACCCTGGTTCCATCCTCGATAATGATGGAGATTTTGTCGGTGGGCGCGAAAATAAAAACTCTAACCTGCACAGTTCATGTATAGTGCGCAAGCCATGAGGCCTTAAATCCACAGGCTCAGGATGCCCTTGTCCTGCACTGCTCCAAAAGTGGTAACTACAGGCAGTCAAAACAATATTTAAAACTCCATTTAAGGAGAACATAATCCAAGCATAAATCATTTGTGGTGACATTTAATATTAATCGCTCCCTGTGTTGGTTCCAGGCTCCCGTTGTGGGGAAAACAAGGATAGACACACTGTCTCTCCAACAAGTATGTTGTAGAGTCGACTAATTAGGGGGGGGGGCTTCGTGGCGAAGTCAGAATGCTCTGCCTGTGGGGCAGGGAACCAGTAATCTGCATACAGATAAGCCAGTTTTGTCAAACAGATGCTTTCAACACTAAGGCTCTGGAACAAAACTCAAGTCCAGAGATAGACGAACAACCATAGCTTTCCGCTAGAGTTATAATTGTTAAATGGGAAGAAAAAGAAGATATTTATCCCTACTATTTATTAGGCTGGTGTCCTAACAGAGAAAGAAAAAAGAGATAAACTGGCCATATTTTAATTTAAAGCATTTCCACACTTACTTGGCTTTTCACATTGATTTGATTGCATTTGTTGGATTAGGAGTTCACAGACCCTGCAATTTGCGCTAGTAGAACTCTAATGGTCTGTCTACAGGTCACAGTTTCACTCTACTGGGCAACAAAGCCTACCTGTTTGGTGGTCTTGCAAATGACAGTGAGGATCCAAAGAACAACATACCTAGGTAACTGAATGATCTATTTCTTATATTGTCCCTGACATTTAATTTGTTGTCCTATTTGTAAGGAGGGTTGTGAATGTGTGTATCACGATCATCCTTTTGTGCTGTTTTTGTGTGTGTTCGCATATAGGTCACATTCTGTTTGTTCATTCCCTTCTGTTTTGTGCAGTTGCTTTGATATCAAGAATGGAATCCAGTCAAGCTTAGTTGGCATCTCTCATCAATGTTCATCTTAGGCTCTCTCTCTCTATATATATATGTGTGTGTGTGTGTGTGTGTATTGTCTGTGGCTTAGGCTTTGGGGGCACGCTTCGTAGTGCCGGGTTCGATTCCAGCTACAGGCCTTGCATTGGTTTCGACAGTGGTATCAAGAAGCCGATCGTCCAGAAAGCAATGGCAAACTACTGGACGTAAATTTGCCTAGAAAAACCACAACAGCCAAAAACTGCTGGGGTTGGTTCTGCAACATCCTGTAAAAGATACACAACTAACTGTGTGTATATATGTGTGTGTGTGACTGTATGTGGGGAGAGCAGAGGAGAGCACTACTTACACAATTTATTTTGTTTTGCAATAACCCTCTCCATTTTCCAAGACACGTTTACTTTTGTTGTGAATATGTATGTTATAAAGAAACAGAGTTTATAAAATTAAATTTCTTGATATTATTTCAGGTACTTAAATGATCTGTATACTTTAGAGCTGCGCGCCCAATCCAACCAGTTGTCGTGGGACTTGCCCAATATTGTTGGCATTCCACCTCCCCCACGTGAATCTCACTCTGCAGCTTCGTATACTGACAAAGATGGCCGCCGGCTCAGGCTTTTCATATATGGTGGAATGAGCGGCTGTAGGTTGGGTGATCTTTGGATGCTTGATGTGGGTACGTATTCATTAATTGTTTTATTTAATATGAAAGTAATTGTTAGTGTGCAAACATCAAGGCTTGTAATTAGGATTCAAAGAGGTGCAGTCGACATTAACACCATAACCTGCCATTCATATTAAGTTAGCTGCAGAGAATTTTGCAGGCCGGCATTGACCTATTTATAATTTATGACATCCTAAAAAAATAATCCTTTTTTACACCAGTGACTCAATTTTTATAAACCAGTGTTGACTCTATAGGCACAAAATCACCATAACAACCTCTACTTCCCAGGACATATCATACGCTGGGTCATCCAGTGGCAAATTACCAAACACAGAATAGCCTATTCAAACCACAAATGTTGGTTTCCACAGGGCTGTTCAGCTGGCAGGCTGAATTTGGCCCACAGAGACTAGCAAGTGGCCCGCAGATCATTGCCAATTTCATTGTAGTAACCATTTTTTTTACACTGGGGCGCAGGGATCTTGCCATGATTACCATTTTGGCCTGTGAGTAAACTTGCTTGAATTCTGACATAAAGGATATACAACTAATATTTTTTTTTCAACATATTCATATTCATAATATTTGAAATCTGTCTTATTCTTCAGATTTAATAATGCATTATTAAAATCTAACACATTGTGGCCTTCTTGGTTTAAAGCATATTTGTGGTTTAACATTCTATTTTCTTAGTGATCTCAATTGATGCATTATGTGGCTAGAAAGCATGATAGAATAAAGACGTACAGATAAAAGCAAAGTTTTGACCAAAACTTTTTTTTTTCTTTTAACAAACACGGAAAATAAGTGGTTTGGGTTCTGGAATTTTTTTTTTTCTTTGCAAGACTTCTGGCTCAGTTGACACTTTCTCCCATAAGGATGAAGTATTAAAGTCTTCAACTTTACATCTATAACATTCATAGAGCTCTTGCATTCAGCTGTTTGCAACATTCTAATTGCATTTGTTTATTTACAGAAAATATGGCTTGGGTTCAGCCAACTGTGTGTGGCATGCCGCCACTTCCCAGAAGTCTTCATTCAGCCACAGTGATTGGTTCCCGTTTGTTTGTCTTTGGAGGCTGGGTTCCACTGGTGATGGATGATGTTAAAGTGGCTACACATGAAAAGGAGTGGAAATGTACCAACACTCTTGCATCTTTAAATTTGGGTGAGCTTCCTTGTGTTGTCACAGTAATAGTGAAAATGCAATGATCATTGTCTTTCTCAAACTATGCAGCAGTTGTGCAGTTTTTTTTTAAAAGGTATTCATATTAACATGTTAAACCATGAACTTTAAATTTGCTATCATCATTTTGTCAAATGACTGTAAGGCTATACGTTTTACTAGCATAATTTCTGGGAATGTTAACCTAGTCAGCAAATATCGCATCTATGCTGTAGACCGGCACAACTCAATCTTTATATGAACGCACAAGAAGAAGACTAGCATAGTTTTCTCAACTTCAACTATGAGCTTTATGTTTGTTAGCATCATTTTGATAAGTTAACCTTTTGAGTCCCAGAGGGTTTAGCATGACAGGCCGAAGTGGTAGTCAAAAGAGACTAAAATCAGCGCATCATGGGTTCATCGGGCTTCTAGGCAGTAACCTATGAAATGTATGATGAGTTCCTTGGGGCTCAAAGAGTTAAACCATAAGCTATCAATTTACTAGCAAGATGGATTTATATATTAACATTGTTTGCACCAGAAACCATGACATGGGAACCTCTTGCCATGGAGGTGTTTGAGGATGCCCTACCCAGGGCCAGAGCTGGACACTGTGCGGTGGCTATTAATACCAGACTGTACATATGGAGTGGCAGAGATGGCTACAGGAAAGCTTGGAACAATCAGGTTTGTTTGGGAGGGGGAGAATGGTAACATTTGTAAAGCTATATTCTGTAGAATGCCCCTTTTCTTACAGATCAGCATAATTGGCATAGCATTCATAACTGCATATTCATTGCATTCTATTTTAGCCTCATTGTATATTTTTGTAAGCCAGCTTGTAGCATCATTACTACTTGATAGCACTTCTCCAGCCACCATGCCATCAGTATCTGGTATTGTGTGAAGGCTTTAGATTGTTATTATTTTTACTTTTACACTAGTTCTTTTGCTTTTCCTCTCCAAATAGGACACACCAGGTCATCTCCAGCAGGCATACCAATGTATGCTGAATCCTTTAAAGACATCTTTGCAAGAAGTTGTTTAGAAACTTAGAAATCTGAGGCATAAATTATCGAACTATTTCTGAATCTGGAGAGGATTGGGAACTTTGTCCCAGTTAGTATAATGTAGCGTGAAGCAGACTCATTTCCTTGAGTTGATATGTCAATAATCTTTACCAAGTTTTGCTTTCTTTGATTATTTGATTATAAGGTTATAGTTATGACTTTATTTCCATCCAGCTGTGATAATTTAAATTTGTTTCTAGATCCAAAGTTTTAGTCTACCAGATGATGCTCAATGTGTTATATAATTATTATGTACCTTGGTAGGTGGACGGTGGTGCAGGCAAAATTTGTTGCTCCACAGTCATCTATTTCACGTCTTCTTGATAATTTCAGCTGATGCTGAATTCCGACTTGGGGCTGTGTGACTTAGTAGAGGTTAGTGAATGCGTTTTACAATTTCATGATCCTCGAGTACTAAGGTTCGATTTCTTTTTTTTCTTTTTTTTTTTAACCCATCGTGGCTCCTGACAGTGGAGTGGGAGTCCGACCGTAGGAAAGATTATTTCCTCAGGGTATAATTTTTCCAGTGGCAGTAGTGGGTTCACTGTAGCCGATCTTCCTTGTGGAAATGATAGTTTAAAAAAATATACTTCCCTGGCAATGAATCGGCATTTCCTGCCTCTTGACCTCTGTCTATACTGCTCATCTTTGTTTGTTCTCTAGATCTTATTTTTTCACATCATCATCATCATGCGCCTTGCTAGATGGCTTTGGTGCTCATGCTTTTTTGTCGGTCATGGTCCTTAATGATCTGTATCAGTTTTGTTTATGGCATGTGGTTTTAGACCCATCCAGCATCATTTCTCTCGGTCTGCTTCTGTCTTAACTACTGCTAACTATTCTAGCAACATGATGTTCTCTAGTTACTCTCTTTTGATTACCTGAGCAAACCCAACACAGCAACTTTCTTATAGTTGCTTACATCTGCTACTTTTATCGGCTTTGTCCAGGTGAAGCTTATATACTTGGCTTCCTGTGGGAGATAGAAGTAGTCTTTAACCAAGCAAATCTCCCAGCAGTTTTTTAATAATAATAATAATAAAAGTGACCCTCCTGGAGTACACCCTGCAAAATTATCACCTCTTGACTCGAGCAGTGAGCCCTATTCAAATGGAAATCCAACATAAGAAAATCTCAGAAACACTATTCAATCACATAACACAGTTATGATGTGGGGCACTGTCGTTATGAAAAAAACTTGCTACCTAGTGCGGGTGGTTAAAAGCCATATACAATGTTTGCTGTCAGCAGGGTTAGAATCTGGGAGGGAAGATCTTAATGTATTTCTAGTTCATTGCCTTAACCATTCGACTTACAGCAACAGAAATGTCTAATATTTTATTATGAGGTTTAGTCAGCTTAGATGCACAATCACACCTCATTAGAGATTTGTAACCCATAATATTTTACTTGTGTGTAGCAACGCTAAATAGACCTCACAGTTCTACATTATCCCCCAGGATAAAAACTATGCTGGTGAGAGTCGGTGATCAGCAAAGCAGCATAGTTTTTTTCATCTGTTTATTTAAGCATGGGGATCTGAATGCCATATTATTCATGTATGGGTCATTTAATTATTTTTATGAATTCACAGGTTTGCTTTAAAGATCTGTGGTTTCTCGAGACTGGTGAGTAAATTTGGAATTTGTGTGGCTTTAATTGATTTCTACTCAGGTACTTCGGTACCCACTCTTGAAATTATGTGTGTATGTGTATATATATATATATATATATATATATATATATATATCTATATATATATATATACAAATATATATATATATGTATATGTGTATATATATGTATATATATATGTATATATATATGTATATGTGTATATATATGTATATATATATGTATATATATATGTATATATGTATATATATATATATATATATATAATATATATATAATATGTATATATCATATGTATGTATATATATATGTATATATATGTATGTAATATATATGATGTATATTTGTATGTATATATGTATGTATATATATATATATGTATTTGTATATATATACATTATATGTATGTATATATATGTATGGATATATATCCCCCAACAAGCATGTATCTATAGGTATGTCGATATATATGGGGGACTATTCTATATATAGTATAGTGTGTATATATATATATGTGTATATAGAACAATAATGTGTATATATATGTATGTATATATGTGTATATATATGTGTATATATGTGTATATATGTGTGTATATATGTATATATATGTGTATATATATATAATAGCCAAAGTCCAGATGGACAAACAACCACCAGACTTTCCAATAAAGCCTACAGTGAGATATATATATATATATATATATATGCAAATGTTTATTTGTGTGGCTTAGAGGATAGTGAATATGGTTAACAATTTCATGATGCTCAAGTACTAGGGTTCCTTTCCCGTGGTGGCCAGCAAAAAAAAACATATTTTAATATTACTCGTCATTTCCGGACTAAGTCACACCGTGTAAGGGCTTGTGGCCTTCCCACCTAAATATTCCCAAAGATAACAGTGGTACACCAGTCTCTAATTAGGTTTGTGTTAATTTCATCACTGCCGCATGTGCCAGGACACATACCCATTTATCTCGATATCTTCCCCTTGCTCTTATTCCTTGAAATTTGACTTATGCAATAAAGTTTAGCTAATCATCTTTATGTGCTCCTTTATGTGTGTGATAGTCGGCGTCTGTGGCTTAGGTGTTGTGAACTCGCTTTGTAATGTCGGGGTGCGGGTTTCGATACCTCCTGCGGACGGTTTGTCTTGTGATGGTTTCGATCGTGGTACCAATAGTCGACCGTCCAGAAAGCAGTGACAAACTACTGGACGTAAATTTGCCTAGAAAAACCACAACAGCCGGCTGGGGTAAGTCAACGTGCTGTAAAGGAGAACACGAATTTGCTCGGTGGTTCGTCCCGGAAATGCCGGGTTCGATCCCGGCTGCGGGCCATGCGCCTTGCGTTGGTTTCAACAGTGGTATCGAGAAAGCTGACCGTCCAGTAAGCAATGGCAAACTACTGGTAAATTTGCCTACAAAAACCACACAACAGCCAGGGGCTGTTGGGGTTGGTTCTGCAACGTCCTGTAAAGGATACGCAACTAACCATGTGTGTGATATGGTAAGGATTCATGTTTACAGGTTATATCTATGTTTTCTCTAATATTCATCTCTTTGTGGGTGTTCTGTGGTCCCTTTAAGGGCGGGGCGGTGTCTAGTTGGGGGTGCTTCCTTTGAAATAAAAGTACCTCTGCCTAGGAGGCGAGGAACCAACATTCTGCATACAAACAAGCCAGACCTGTATAATGGATGTGCACACAAAACTCAAGTTCTAGAACATGACCATAGTCCCTAAAGTAGTGAAAAGAGCCAGAACTTTCCACAGGAGTTAACTGCTGGTGGACGCGAAGGAGAAGAAGATTATCATTAGCATATTTCCCATTTCTAATGTTGCCTGGTTTTGATTTGTCATCCCCAGAAAAACCACCAGCTCCCTCCAGGGTCCAGCTGGTGCGAGCCAGCACAAACACATTGGAGGTCTCCTGGGGGTCGGTACCAACTGCTGATGCTTACCTGCTGCAGTTGCAGAAGTATGATCTGCCACCCACAACTACCACGGCCGGCAGCACTACTGTGGCCACACCTACCACAGCTGTAGCAGCACCTGCAACACCCCCCATGGCTGCGGCACCAGTGATCACCACTGCTCCAGTCACACCTGTGATGGCAGTCACCCAGACTAGACCTCAGATCCAGTTTGCCACTCAGCAGGGAGGTATTATCCGCACACCAACAGCAGGTAAGCGTGGATACAATGCTTTTCTTGAGATTCTGTATCGCTGGGCTGTGCTCAAAGTCACCCAAGTACTAATCCTATTTCGAGAAAATCAAATTTTAACATTGAGACCAGATCAAAATTGTATAATGTAAAACAAATATTACTTGTTGACCTTTATGGCATATGAATTCACATTTGTACTTTTTTAAAGGTGACAAATAATAGTTCTGAAAATGCACTTGGGTGAAAATAGCCAAAATAGCACTTAAGTGGCTTTGGCACAATGCCAGCAATGTATACAAAAGCTGTATATATTTTCTTTCCTCAGTTCTCACTGGTGATATTTTCCTTTAAGCATTGTTAAAGGCTTAGTCGCTTCTAATTGCCTTATGCTGCTTTTTTATAACTATGTAACAGATATAAACATGCTAAGCGCTAAAATTTGCCTATGTATATTTTCATGATCTTTTCTTCAGTAGAGAGATTATTTATGTAAATTTAATCACATTTCAAGTGAATATAACTGAGAAATAAACACTTTTAGTACCTGGCATATATGATTTAGCCAGTTTTCATTTAAAATGTTTTTAAATTTAAATGATATATACTTCTGACTTTTGTTTGCGGGAGGAGTTAAATTAATATAAGAGTGGTGTGGTTTAGTTGTAACAACTTAATGTTTTCGTGGGGAGCTGAAAATAAATTGTTTGGGGGAAAAGAATAAGCCAGCTGCCCCCTTGCAAGCCTGTCATATGAGTCGGCTGATTAGGGATGTCGCATTCAAAGTTGGAGTACATCCATGTGAGAGGTGTGGAACCAGCAGACTGCATACAGATAAGCCAGATCTGTAAAATGGATGCGCACGCAAAACTCAGGTTCTTGAATAGGCCCAGAATCCATAAGTGGGCGACCAGCCGGGGGACGCAAAAAAAAATAAGAAAAATTTAACGCATGTAGAATCCAACAAACACATTTTACTTGTCAAAGGATGAGTGAGGTTCATAATGTTAATTCTACACAGATGGTGATGAGAACTGAGATTATTTCTGTGAATGTCATTACATTTAAATAGAGAATAAACTCTAATTTTTTCCTCTTTGGTTCTAGTCCATGAGATATTAATCTTACAGACTGCTGTCTTGGAAAGGGGGGGGGGGGGGGGTAAAAAATGACAAAGATAAATTGTGTGTTTTCAGAATAGTAAAGTCAGATAAATTCAAGTTAAGTTGAGAAGTGTTGAGGAGTACAAAATAGAATGTAAAATTGTGTGAGGAAGATGGTTGTGGTGAAGAAAAGTGATATAAATAATAGCCTTTACACTGTTGCTTTAGTTGATTATTAAAGACTGCAGGTCTTTAAAAAAAATAATTGCATAATTAAATTAAAATTCCCCTAAAATATGAAACTGCTGTTTGCTATGGTTTAGTTTACAGAGTTGATGCTTATCTATTACAGTGCTGCACACATTTATAAATCTTTGTAGCACATGCATACTTCTTAATGTACAGAACTTTTGCATTGATTTGGTTCAATTCCAAAACCAGCTATACCACTTACTATACAAATTTCTCAGGCCTGCCCATCCGCTCAGTGGCCAGTGTGGTGTCACCTCTGACCCCTGGTCACTCACCACAAACCATCAGAGGTAGAAGTATGTCCTTACAAATATTTTGCTATTTATTTTGCAGATGGCATGTTCTGTTTTTGCACAAATTTGGTTAAATCTTTAGCGTTGGACAAAATACCCCAGATTGTTTAAAATGTGTATTAACTTTCTTTTATCTTAGATAACTGCAAAAGTTTGCACTTTTTTAAGTGTTTCTGTTATGCAGTTTTTTTTTGGGCAATAGCTAATTTTTTTTTTTTTTTTGGGGGGGGGGGGGGGGGGGGGGGGGGGGGGGGGGGGGGGGGGGGTTATTTCTTCATTGTTTATGTTGCCTGTATGTATGATAAGGGGGTTCTTTATTACAAAAATCCTTACACTGTTCCTTTAAAATAAATTTGTTGTAGGCTTGCTGTTCAGTGTACAGATAAATCGCATGACATCACCTTTAAGCAAACACAAATTTAGAAATGAAAGAAGTGCATTAAATCCAGAAAAACATTTACATTTTTTCATTTGCTTTTTTTTTTTTTTTTACAGTAAGAAGCAGTGAGTTAATAATCTGTTTAAATCCCTATTAATTACTGTATCATGGGGACTAATAGATTGCAATGGTTGGGGCGTATAGAGAGGATGGTAGATAGCAGAGTCAGAAACTGCATGCACAAAAGAGTTGTATGGGATTAGACTGTAAGACAGACCAGGAAGACTGATGGGAGAATATACAAGCTGACTTACAGAGACAGACAGTCGTCAGCTGGGAAAAAAAAGGCCAGTCAACGATATAATTGGAAAGCCGGGGCAATCAGCAGTAACTAACCTCAAGGACTTGAAATGCTGAAAAAAGAAGCAGCAGTGAAGGGGGGGGGGGGGGACTTGTGCAGATGGATGAAGTGGTTTGCAGTGTTGGATCTCAGCGGACTTTTTAAAGTGCAGATATATTATTCAGTGACTCACTGATTGTTTTATCTGTGACTGTTGACTCTGAGGTCACTGCTGAGTATGTCTGGTCTAGCTGCCAACAAATTATACACAGACACTTGTTAGAGTGACATGCGTGCATTATCTTAATGGACCCCCCTCTGCTCGAGATAGTTTCTGAAAGTTTGTCACAAATTAAGGGTTTCCATATGAAGAAGGCTCACCTGCTATTGCAGAGTTGAGTAAGTAATTATTTTTACTTTTATTTGAATTTCCCATTCTGTATTTCTGAAGGAACAGCCCCTTTCCTGAAAATAACTGCAGTGATCATTTAACAAATTTTTTTTAAATTGCTTCTTGTAGTCTCTGCGAACTTGTGTTTTAAAGACAAATATTGTTTCTAAGCTTGTACATGTCTTTGTGAGTATTATTGGTGTAACTTAGTTGTGTTCACTTGTATTGAAGTGAATTATTTCAAGGATGTTTGAGAATGGCTGTGAATAAAACCCTAAGAGATTGGGTAAGAAACGCCGTGATCATAAGAACTCTTGACAGTTTATTGAGAAACAAAGAATGAAATGGTTTGGTCATCTAATGAGAATGAAAACAATGCCAGCAGCAAGAGGGTACAACCTGAAAATCGAAACATCAAGAGGCAGGGGAAGACCCAGAAGAAGATGGATTTAAGGAGTCACTGACACCTTGAGACTGCATAATATCAAGCGACTGAGCCCACCCTAGCTCGGCTGCCAATCGTATGATGAAATGCAACGTCTGGCGGCAAAATCAGATATTGACAAGAGAAACAGATTTCAGTGAAAAATGCCAACAAGAAATGCAATATTTCTGTCCCACCTCTTGATATTCTCCCATTTAGACATTGCCTACTTCTTGCTCATTTGCCTTCAACTTTACTCCTCACTTTAGTTTTATGTGAGTTTTTATTTATTGTGTGTGTGTGTATGGCCAAAATATTTCACTAGACTCTTGGGCGTTGTATCTTAAATAGTGACAGTTTATGGCGCTACTGTTTATTTTTAGCTTATTTTTAGGTGCTCTCAATTTAAATGAAGTCTTTGCAATTAATTGTGTACTGTGTTTTTAAAAATTCCTTTTTTTTTTTTAAAATGTTTAGCTTGTTTGACTTGCCAAGCTTATGATATTTCTTTATGTCCGTACATGTAGTGTAGTACATTGTGTCCATGTGTGGCGTGTTGTTAGTTATTTAATTATTCATTGGTGTTCAGATGACGTCTAACCAATAATGGGATTGTTTATAAGCTGCTGATTTATACATTGCTCATAACAATTCTTGATTGTCTCACTCTTGAATGTTATATGACTGCATGTGTGACTTTATTGGGTCTCTGAAATTTGGCGTTGTCGGTAAAAATTTGTGATCCAACATACCATGATCGAAACCCACTGCTGGCTGCGTGAGTTTTTATCATGGTGTCGGGCATCGTAGGTCGGCCCAGCCTAAAGTGGGTACCAGGATGGCTGGCCTGAGGAAGTAAAGATGGCCGGCGTAATACTGACCACAATACTCACTTAGTGCCAATTGGTCTGTAAAAATCTGTGATGCTCTTCCTATATGCCCAATGCTCCTAAGGCGTAACAAGGGTACTTTAAATTTTTTTAAATAATATTTTTGGAGTATTTATGGGGAAACCGTTACTGATGGATTCATAGGGAGAGAAATCAGTGGATTGCTTGGGGGGGGGGGGAGGCATTGGCAACCTTTTTTTTTGCTACTGCAAAGCATGCAGCTCACTGCTTGTCCTCCCTTTTTTTTTAACTTCACTCTCTAGTTCCCTTCTTATGTGTTTTTTGGCTTGCTTTTATTTTGTTCCCCTGTGGGTTCCAGTGTAAAGCCCTTCTAGTTCACTGGAATTTGTTTAGTACTGTTCTGTCCTCAAAACTCTACATAAGTGCTTCTATCATACCATTTTATTTCCTTTATTCTGTGCAGGCACCACCTATGAATGTTGTTAATTTTTTTAGTAATTGTTTTAATTTTCTGCTCCATACAGAAGTACTGCTATTTTTTTAAATTTTAATATCCATCTCTTCCCCCCCCCCCCCCCCCCTACATTACTCTCCACACAGGTGTATGACTCCACATATTACTGTTAGATTTTACCAAGAGATACTGAATTATTGTTTGCTCTCTTTATTCCCATTAACTTTGTCTTTCCCATATGAATTTTTAGACCTAATTATTTTGCTCTTATAAAAAAATTTTAATTTAACTTAAATCTGAATTTATGAGTGGTATAGAAAAATGTCATCAACGAAATTCAGGTCATTAAGCTGTTTTGTAGGGATCCACTGAATTTCATTCCAGGTGATAGCTGTTGCTGTTATCATAATTCAGTCTGTTTCTAATTTTTTTTTTTTTAAATTATAAAGGTGACAAAGGGCATCACTGTCACAGGCTTATCTTTTTTTTTTCAGCTGTCACACTTATCGTTATTTCAAATGTGTCGGTTAGCTTTCCCCCATGAACAGGAGTTTCAGGTAGTAGAAATTGCAAAGTACAAAGTGAGAAAGCCTGAAATCATTAACTACTTGCTCATTCACTTGTTTCTGGGGAGTCATTTTGTTAGGTGCTGTTAGTGATGTTACAATATTCTTAAAATTAAACATTGATTGCACAGTGCTGATATTTAATATTTTGCTTATAAGAGGGAAATCTAAAGTCCGTGTGTGTGTGTCATTTCACTCATAAATACCTCATCTGTTGCTTTTAACACAGCAGTGCATGTTTAATCTGATTTGCATCTAATTTGTGTGTATTATTCAATAGTCACAGCCACCCCTCGCATTCGAGCACCAATGACGGTTACTCCAGTCGCAAACACAATCCGCGTGGCCACACCTCAGATGCCAATCCTTCCGCAGGCTGTTCAGAGAGTCACCAGTGTTACTGCAACAGTAAGTATTTAATCTGTAGCCTCTCTCTCTCTCTCTCTCTCTCTCTCTCTCCTCTCTCTCTCTCTCTCTCTCTCTCTCTCCCCTCCCCCCCCCCTCCCCCTCCCCCCACCACCACTCACACACGCATAATATGCCAACATAAACTTAAAAATCATGAGCTTTAACTTATACATGGCCTCCACTTATGTCGTCACATAATGTAGGGACAGAATGTAAGATGGTTCTGTGCATCAGATTTTTAACCCTTTTTACACACGAATATTTTTTTCTCCTACGCAGAGAGAGAAAACTGAACCTTTTATAATCATATACTATGTTCTGCTTTTTATTTTTTTTTTTATGTGACTTTTCATATTGACTCAGTTTTGAATGGTGCCATGTTTATTCTGCCCTGTTCTGCATAATTTATTATTCAGATTGCTTATGCTGAAAAATCAAAAAATAAATTTAAATTATGAAATTGTGTGCTATTTGTCAGACTGCAGGCAACATGTCAGGAATAGCTGCTCTTGCCGCAGCAGCAGCTGCAACCCAGAAGATTCCGGGGACTCCAGGCAGTGTAACAACCACACCTGCATCTGGCATCAAAGTTGTGACGCCCACAATAGTTACTCCTGGAGGTGTCAAGGTCACTCCTGTAACTGGAAAGCTTCCGGGTAAATTATGCATGTTTAGTGTGTTGTAACAGCTTTTTAGAAGTGGACGGAACAATTAGAACTTTCTGCCAGCTTTTTAGAAGTGGACGGACAATTAGAACTTTCTGCCAGCTTTTTAGAAGTGGAAGGACAACAAGGACTTTCTGTCAGCTTTTTAGAAGGGGAAGGACAACTAGGACTTTCTGCCAGCTTTTTAGAAGTGGACGGACAATTAGAACTTTCTGCCAGCTTTTTAGAAGTGGACGGACAATTAGAACTTTCTGCCAGCTTTTTAGAAGTGGACGGACAATTAGAACTTTCTGCCAGCTTTTTAGAAGTGGACGAACAACTAGGACTTTCTGCCAGCTTTTTAGAAGTGATGGACAATTAGAACTTTCTGCCAGCTTTTTAGAAGTGGATGGACAATTAGAACTTTCTGCCAGCTTTTTAGAAGTGGATGGACAATTAGAACTTTCTGCCAGCTTTTTAGAAGTGGAAGGACAATTAGAACTTTCTGCAAGCTTTTTAGAGGTGGACGGACAATTAGAACTTTCTGCCAGCTTTTTAGAAGTGGATGGACAATTAGAACTTTCTGCCAGCATTTTAGAAGTGGGCGGACAATTAGAACTTTCTGCCAGAGTTTGCTGCCTGTGAATGCCATGAGCTTTATTCTAAGTAATAGATAAATTAAGATGGTCTGTTCTCTTTTTTCCCTGCTTTGTTATGTAAACTGTTCTGAACATTATTTGGTGCCAGTTATGTGAGTCCCAGAGCAAAATTTGTTACAAAAATTAATCTCACTGTTGCTGGAAACTGAACTGCAACCTTGAATTAAGTAAACACAATAACATCATTGCCACCATGGATTTCTTAAATATTGTTTTACTTTCTTAGACTGCTGGTCATTCATTTTTTTATATCATCCCTCTTATGCAGCTGTCGTAACTGTTGTTCTCCTGCCTTCCACTTTTTTTCCAGTATGGATTTCAAAAGAGGGTTGTATCTTTTGATATTGCTGAAAAATGGCTTGTACCCAAGATGTGAACATATGACTGTCTCATTTTCTCCCTATCATTTATCCCCTTTTTGTCCCATTTTTTAGAATTCACCATTTAGTATTTTTGCTTCTGTGAAGTACGAACCGTTCTTCTTATCCAAATCTTCACTTGCTCAGTTTAATTTTCAACAGATAATATTTAGTTAAAAATGCCTATTGTGTCAGCCAAAAAGATCAAATACCGCATCTATGCTTTGAACAGCTACAACACAGTCATGTCCTTATGTGAATGAGGAAGAATAACTTTCTATCTGCTCGTTCATTGTCCAGGTTCCTCTATCATAAATTATGGTTGAGTATTCACACAGTCACACAATTTTAAAACAATGAACCCATTTTGATGTTCCTCACAGCTGGCACAACCATAACTCCAGGAACACAGACAGTGCGTGTAGCACCATCAGGTGCTACCATCTTGAAGGCATCTGGCTCTGGTACAAGCATCGGAGGCAAGCAGATCATCACAGTTCACAAAGCTGGCAACAGTGGGACTAGCCAATCACAGATTGTCACACTTGTCAAGACCACACAAGGCATGACTATGGCTAGCGTAAGTCCACATGGGGTTCTTCTATTGTGCGTCTTAACTCATTCAGTTCCAGTCAACTCACCATGCGTTTATTGCTTACCCTATACGTGAAATGTCTTTTCCTAACATTTTACTACCTAAGTAGTTATAATAACCTGTAGTAATCTAAATGTTACTTTAACCCTTTTAGTGCCTAATTGTGACTTGTTTAACCCCTCTGGATCTAAACAACTATTAATGTATGTAATAAATACTTAGGAATCAACGAGTTACGTGATACCTGCCTGGTACTTGAAGAGTTAATACTCTTATATCACTGCATTTTCTTTTGGGCTGTTTCTTCAAGTACAGAGCAGGTAGTCTTAACTCAGGTACACATGTAGAATTGTAAACCTTGTTAACTTTTTTCATCAAGTACAGAGCAGGTAGTCTTAACTCAGGTACACATGTAGAATTGTAAACCTTGTTAACTTTTTTCATCAAGTACAGAGCAGGTAGTCTTAACTCAGGTACACATGTAGAATTATTACAGTAAACCTTGTTAACTTTTTTCAAAGACAGAATACATCTGCCAGATAGGCAGGAAGCCAGCTGTCGGCATACAAATAAGTGAGATCTTTCAAACAGATGTGCAGTCAGCAGGTTCTGGAACAAGAACAAAGTCCAGAGTTGGATGTACAACTAGAACTTTCTGCTTCAGTTTACAGCTGGTGCATGTGAAGAACAAGAAAGAAGAACCTCTGTAACATAAGTAGAACCTCATTAACATAAACAAGTAGAACCTCGTTAAGATAAACAAGAAGAACCTCTGTAACATAAACATGCTCAAAGGATTGTTTATGAACCGTTTTTTTTTAAGTTTGTTTGTGTTAACATGGTTCTTTTTCTTCTTTTTTTTTGTTCTCAACGTTCACCTGCTGTAAACTTAAAATGAACACTTAATTAAATAGGCCTTAATTTTGGTCAAGCGGTGGCCTACTAAGTCCCCAGTTCGCAAACATTTTTTAACACACACTCTTTATTTTTTTTCCAATTAATTCCTTGGTATTCATGTTAATGAGGTTTTAATGTATGTGTATCTGATAGTATGTGCATCTAACTTGTGCCTGAGAAAAATAAACACATACACAGGCTAACATATTACGTAATTTTGGCATGGTTTTGTATTTTTTTATATGTATATATAATTGTCTTCCTTTTTGTATTTATTTGTTCCTTGTGTGGGTTTCTAGACCCCATTTAGTTTGGGGAAAAATAGACCTACTACCCCCCTAACAAGTTCTAAGCTGGTTGCGTATCCTTTACAGATCATTGCAGACCAACCCCAGCATTGTCTGTTGCAGTTTTTCTAGGCAAACTTACGTCCATTAGTTTGTTTTAGTTAGCTTTCTTGACGGTCGGCTTCTCAAATCCAGCGCAAGGCCTGCAGTTGGGATAAAACCTGGCACCCTGCGAAGCTCCTGCGCAATGCCTAAGCCACAGACGGTGATCCTCCTAACAAGCAGTGTGATAAAAGTTGACTCATTAAGGCTGTATTCTTTGAAGTCAGAGGGCATCAGCCTGAGAGGCGGGAAACCAAGCAAGACTAAAGTTCTGATGTCGGTTGAAAAAAATCAGAACTGGTCCGCCAAAGTTTACAGCTGGTGGATGCAAAGGAAGGGATATTAATTAATTCCTTCTTTGTGTGTCATCGTAACCCAGAGTATCTGCAGTATTTTATGTCCATATTTATGCTGGTTAACCCTCTTGGGTTTTTTGGGGGTTTTTTTGGGGAAGAAAATCTGAATCCACTACTGTTATTTCTAAGCTCATTGCAGTATTTAAAACGAGTAAAGTATTTCAGATTCTGATACATGTTGTTTATTAGCCAGTTGGTTTGATGTGCAGATCTTGTTTCTCCTTCTTGATCTTTGGTATTTTATGGATTGTTTCTTAACATTTAACTTACAAAGCGTCGGTTTTATCTTAAGAAATTACAGAACAGCCCATGTCTCACAGCTGTTAACACATAAAAAATGTGTGTTCTTAAAACTGTCCCTGTTATACTGCCACAGCTGTCATTCTAACATCACTATTAATGAGAGATTTTTCTGCAGCCTAAAAATCCCCTGCCGCAGGGAGCAACGATTGTCAAGCTGGTGACTACTCAAGCAGGGGGCATTAACAAACCAGCTACTGTACTGAGTACACAGCACAACTCAGGGCAGACACCCACTATCTTGGGAATCAGCAGTGTTCAGCCCAGTGTAAGTGCCTTGTCTTGTTTTCTTTTATTTATCTGCAGTGGATTGTTAGTGTTGCAGTCTGTCTTACCTTTTAGTTTAAATATGCAGATAGGTATAATTTGTACAGATCATTGTTTTCTTCTTCTTCATTTGTCGATTTGTGAGTGCTTAATCTCACCAACACTGGTGGTGGCATGAGATAGATGCTGTTGTCCTATATATTTTCTGGATATACTTAAAGTTAGTCTCCATCCAGAACCAACAATTTTAAAAAATATATTCCAGAAGTTGAAAGTGTCATTATTTAGAATGCACTGTTTAAGGTTTAGTATTGCTGAATTGCATATTTCAGATTTGTAGCATAGTTTTTTTTTTTTTGAATTTTTTTTTTTTTTTTTTAAAGTAATTAAAGTTTTATCAAACATCATTCGTCTGAGCTATTCTTCGGAGCTGCAAGTGTTATAAATTAGAATGTCCGTGTTTAAAGTTTAGTATTTAATTAGCACATATGTCAGATGTGTGGCATATTTATATTATAAAGGTTTACAAAAAAAAAGTAATTTAAAAAAAATGTCAGTAGGGTAGTGTTTATGTATTTTTTTTTTTTAGGTGATCTTTTTGTTTACCAGCTGCAGACTCTGGTGGAAATTTCTGTTTGTTTGTCCACCTGTGGACTTAAGTCTTGTTCCAGAACCTGAGTGTTGCTTGTACATCAGTTTTACAGATCTGACTGATTTGTGTGCACACTATTGGTTCCTTGCCTCTCGGGCAGATGCACTGTCCCTTTGAAGAAAGCTGCCATTTAGTCGACACTTGTGACATGCTTGATGGGCAGGCAATGGTCTGTTCTTGTTTTTCACACAGTGGGGCCCCAGAACCCCTACTGGGAGGTCACTGTTTAGGGATTAGTATTACTTAATTACATTTTTCAAATTTGTATCATAAAGATTAAAAATTAAAGAAATTTTGTAATTTCTCAGAATGTTAGCAATATTCATTCAGCTAAGCAATTCTCCACAGCAGCAGATGACACCAGGCCAGAAGTCCATGTCTACCATGATCAGAACCATCCCAACATCCATCCTGACCATGGCTAAAGCTGGACAGCCGAATGTCTCTGGGGTGACAACTACTCAGGTCGGCACCAAGACTATTGTGATTGCAGCACCCAAAGGCAGCACTAGCACTTTAAACCAGCCAACCAAGATCATTACAAGTGTTCCAAAATTGGCCGGCCAGTCAGGCAACACACAGTTCATCGTTGTTAGCCCACAAAGTGTTGCAGGAGCTGTGGCAGCAGGTAAGCATGTTTGTGTTGTATATATGAGCAATTGTTTTTAAATTCTTTTATTTATATATATATATATATATATATATATATATTATATATATATATATATATATATATATATATATATATATATATATATATATATATATATATATATATATATATATATATATATATATATATAAAAAATACAGCATCATCATCATCATGTTGACTGCCAACTGGCGTAGGCGCTCATGTGTCTTCACAGATCACGATCTCTGGTTAAGAATACATACACACACACACATATATGTGTGTGTGTGTGTATATATATATATATATATATATATATATATATATATATATATATATATATATATATTTATATATATATGTGTGTGTGTGTGTGAGCATAGGTTAAAAATATACGTCTATGGTTAAACATCAGCGAGGAAATCAGAATAAACATTTTTGAAGCATACATCTCTGTAGCAAAGTATGGATGTGAGCCATGGATTATTGAACAGTCCCTAAAGAAGAAAATAGGACCTTTTAAGCTGAAATGCGATAGAAAGATTCTCATAATAACATGGACAAAGAAGAGAAGAAATACTAACTTCATAATAACATGGACAAAGAAGAGAAGAAATACTAACTTCATAAAAGATCTGTACATTGAAAAAGATTGGCCAGTGAACATCTTGTCTCGGAAACTGAAAGTTGGCTGTATCAAGCGCCACAGCTGATCGGAAACATAATGGCAGATCGCAAGGTACCAGGAAATAGGGTCATGGGGTCAGCCAGCACAAAGATGGGCACAGAATATAAAAGACACATCGGGTAAGAAAGTCCAGATTGTGACCGGTACCATCAGTATTGGAACTCTGCGCTGGCTGCTGAAGATAAGGACGAAGGATGCATGGGAATGCCCTGAGTGCTGTGATGTCAATTCTTGACTTAACTAAGGTGAAAAGATAGGACATGGGGCAAGCTATGCACCGTGGCCAAGGATATAATTATTGGCATGATTTGGTTGGGGACTTATGTTCCATTTTGGGTAAGAAAGTGCACTACTCAGGAAAGATGGTGAGAGACTTGTTTCTTTCAGGCAGGTTGTGATGAGAGTGACGGAATGGAATATTACTTGCAAGATGGTGTGCCAGTTCCCTTCCTCATAGACTTTCCTTCCTAGTAAAGTCTGCAAGCTATCCACCATCCTTTTTCATGAGGCTGGAATAACCCAAGAGCTGTACTGGTTAGAAAAAATAAATCTGCCTGTGCTGTAGGTGGGTTGAATCCGGACCGTTCTCTTGGCAGGCCTCAACAATGCCCACTGTTGGTGTGACACAAGCATGTAAAGTGTGTCGTTTTGGGCCTATGACAAATGTGACCTCACAGCCCTGACTGATTTTCAGTGGATGCATCTGTAGTCGTGGTCTGTCAGTGTTTTCTTTCATCGACCAACTGTGTAATTGTGGCCCTATTACAGCCTGTTAGTGTCCAGGATTTCTTTTGTCTGCATTGCCACTTGCCTCTATATCTCCTTTGGAGAGTTTCGTTCTGCCTCCATTCACAAATGTCCCGTTGATGCTGTTTGTTTTAGTACCTCACTGGTTGTAGGCATGTCCCACTCAGCCCCCCCCCCCCTCCCCTCACTTGCAGAAATCACTCAAATCCAAACTGAAGCATCCGTATTGCCACTTGAACATTCATTGTCTTTAACTAGCTGTTCATAAAAAGCTTCAAATTATCTCCCTTGTCCATCATGGGTATGTCATCATCACTTAGCAGATTCTTCGCAGAAAGTTCCTCTCATCTGCCTGAAAGAAACTGTCTCCTGCCAGCTGTCCTGCTTCAAGCTTTTTCATATTCAAGGAGCCACTTATATCCTGTGCTCATCTTTGTGTTATTTTGCCCCTGCCCCTCCTTCCAGGTACCATCGTGATTAGGTATCCTCTGTAATTCCTTTACAGCAAAGTTTTATCAGATAATATTCACTAGTAACTTTTTAAAAAGCCTTTAATTTTTAGAGTGAAAAAGAAATGCAATCTTTTCAGCAGGAGCTAAATCATCATCAATAACAACACTAGCATCAGGAGGAAACATCATTTCACAGACAGGCAAACCAGTCATTACAGTACTCTCTGGAGGTGAGCTTTCTTCTTTATGCTGTAAATACAGATAATAATTCACTGGTTGTGTGAATGTAACATATTGGGTGTGTCTGTGTCTATATATATATTTATATATATATATACACATACACACACACATATATATATATACACACAGTCACAATATTGTAAGGAGCGTAACCTATTTCCTTGCTTAGTACAACATTCTAGAAGAAAGACCCGCTGCCCCTTTAACAAACATGTCGTAAAAGTCAACTAATTGGGAGCTTCCTTCTTTCGAGGTCGGAGTTCATCTGCCTGAGAGGCAAGGAACCAACAGTCTATATAGATTAGTCAGATCTGTTTTTTTTTTTTTAAATGTATGCGCTTGCAACATTCATGTTCTGAAACAAGATTAAAATGCAGAGGTGGACAAACAGCCAGAACTTCCCGTCAGAGTTGGCAGCCTGTGAGCGCGAAGAAAAATAAGAATTTGACATGTTAATTTTTTACCTTGTTTAACACATTGACTATTTCAAAATAAGTTCCAATTTAGTTTGCATTGTGTGTTCCTTTATGGGTAAAATGTTTACCACAGAAGCAGAATTCTATTCAAATTATGTCCTGTTGTTTGTGTCCAGAAAGTAAATGATTGGTACTCTTATTTACAGCATCTCATGCAGTATCAGCAGCTAGCGGCCAGACTGTCAATGCCCCTACCATGCGTGTGGTCAGCGGTAATGCCTCCACAATCTCCCTTATTGCCCAGGCAGCCAGCGAAGCATCAGGAGTCACATCTACTCTCGGAGGTCGTCAGATAGTCACTGTCCCTGCAGGCCAAGCTGGGCTGGCAGGAGCTAAGGGCCCTGTGCAGATCACCATCACCCCTGCAAACCGGGCAGGCATCAGCACCATAACCCTGCCTTCCAATATCAGACAGGTGGCCAAGCCTGTGGTGAACTCTTCAGCAACTAATGGCACACAAGTTGTGAGACTCAGCGGAGCCACCGTAGTCTCAGTAAACCCACCAGCTTCAGCCACTGGAGACCAGGCAGCAATGATCAGCTCTGAGGCTCAGGCTGCCGCAGATGCTCTAGTTAATGAGGGTATGCTGGTTCAGCACAGCAGTGCTGGAGATGCTGATGCCTCACTGCAGCAGTTTGATGGAGCTTCAGACAGTGTCATTGAAGATGGCATCGTTGAAGACTTCAGTGGGTATGGACATGTTCTTTCTGGCTCTGATATGTTAATTGAAAGTGATGCTGAAGCTGGAGACTTTTTCTTCTGTTTGGGAGATCAGACTGAGTTCACAGGGTACGATGTGGATCGAGATGATGAGATGGGTAGTTTTGTGCTGCCACAGTTTGATGGTGCTGCTAGTGAAGATGAGGAAGGTGGAGGGGATGAGGAGCTGGAGTCTGATGCACACGATGGCCAGCCAGAGGAACATCCTGAAGAGTCGATGGCAGCGGAGCATGACCTGCCAGCTCAGGTGCAGTCACATCAGGCTGATGATTCTCATGATATGGGTGATGGCTTGCATGCTGACGGGAATCTAGAATCAGCACTCCTGGGACAGGTAAATACTTTTCTCATTTGCTAACATACCGTAAACTGCTGCATATAAGTTTTCAAACCCACAAATATTTCCAGAACTACAGGTCCACTTACACAGCAGGTATAAAATGCGTTCGGAAGGTGTTTATAATTTTCAGGTCAACTTGCACACCACAATTTAGATTGTTTTATAAAGGGAGAAACATTGGTCAGCTAATTTATACAAGTTGGCTCTTATGTTGTTCAAATATATATATATATATATTCTTTCTCTTCTCCCTCCCCCCCCCCCCCCCCCCCCCCCCCCCCCAGTGGTGTACTTGAAGCATAGGTTAGCTTTACTGAATACTTTTACAATAAACTAAGAATGTTGCATGCAGCAGTAAACCTTTCAGCCAGTAACTACAATAGAGAGAGGAAATGATCAGTTACTACAGTAACATATTCTTTTTCTTTTGCATTTGTCCTAACAGAGGGTTGTGTTTTAGCTAGTTTACATTTGGCTGCGATGCCTACACCTTTCGGTCTAACATATCCAATTTCAGCAAAACCTTCAAAACTCACAACTCGCCATGCCGTACAGAATGCGGGAGGGTCAGGTTCGAGTCCTCGGTAAAGTTGTATTTCTGTCTAGTGCATAAAATATGACCCCCCCTCCCCCACAAAAGTGTCAGGAGCCAGCCACCATGGTGTAGTGGCTAGATGCTTTCCTGCGGACCCAAAGGTCATGTGTTCAAGTTAGAAATGATCTTGGCTCCCGGGTGAACCCAGCCATAAATGGGAACACATAAAATACTGTGTAGTGAAAAAAAACTAGCGAGATGTTGACCAGATGGCCCGCCAAGTGCTGAGTGGTCTATAAAATACAGGTCTAGCCCTATGTGCCCATTACACCTGAAGGCCTTGAAAAGGGACTTTTTTTAACTGTTATATTAGTCTGTACATTTGTTCCAGGATCATGGGGATGGCCAGCAGATGACAGAGGCAGAGTTACAGCAGCATGCAGAGAGTGCTCTAGAAGCTCTTGCAGAGGCAGGGGAGGCATTGTCAGTCCAGGCAATGCTTGCTGGCCAGCCCATGGAAGAAGGGGTTAGCCTAGAGGGTGTGCTAGCTCATGCCGCAGCACTGGAGACCGCTTCCCACCAGGTGGGTGATGAGTGTCCGGCAGTGCCACAGCCCGGAGGGGAGGCTGATGAAGTCAAGCCAGATATTGCTGAAATGGCACATGCTGGTCAAGATGGTGCACTAGATGCTCACGATTCCAACTTGGAACCTAAAGAGGAACCTATGGATGTTGGCCTGGCAACTTTGGCTCAGACATTGGCAAATGCGGTCAATGGTGGCGGGGACGCTGGGGGTAAGATGATGTTTGTTTTGTTGTGGTATCCTTGTTGTTCAGCCATTCGTGAAAAGTTGGAATGACCAGAGCCATGATGGATGTAGTCAGGACCAGGCAGATAAAATAGTTTAGACACATACAAGACATGATGAAGGTCATCCCATTTCCCATGACTGCTGTTGTAGGATGGTAGTTAGACCTCATATACTGGGTTCTTAGCATTTTAGAGTAGTTTACCTGGGGTGTACAAGATGGGAGGATAACATCAGAGAAACTCTACAACAGCACGATGTGCCTATGGTCGAGGCAGCCAGAAGAGCTAGAAACAGAACCTTATATCTCCCTCGACACCCACAGCGGTAAACGAGGGAGTGAAGAAGAAGTACACTCTGAGGCTGCTGTTCATCCATCTCTTGGATGTTATCATCCCACCTGTATCACTGTCTACTTATTGCATGGCTTGCCTTCAGCCTTCCCATTAGGCATGCTTTTTATAATAGTTCTCTTTTACTATTGTGTTGTCTCCACGTTCCAGTATCCCTCTGTGGGACTTTCTTGACCTAAATAACACGCTTTAGCCGTAAAAGTTCTATTATGCAAGGTTAAAAAAAAAAGGGAATAAGTCTTATCAGCCCTTATTAAGTACATAAAAACAAATCTATTATTAGGATAACAAGCTGTTGCTTGTATGTAGCTATACTTCCACCTTTCAGACCCCCTGGCCACTCTAGCATCGGCTGCCATTTCCACAGCTCCGGTGACCACTCCGAAAATGACCGATGCCTGCGTGGATAGCGCTGATATCAAGGAAGAGATTAAGCCAGAGATGAAGCATGAGAAGATCTTTGTGAAGAAAGACCAACAGCAGTGGTTCGATGTGGGCTTCATCAAGACGACAACCTGTACTGTCTCGCACTACCATCTTCCATCGGAGACCGGCCAGGGCAACACTGATGTAAGTTGTTTGTCATATCGACGCTTGTTTGTTGGTTCTTTGGTTGTCAGTGTCCACTGGATAAGTCATTTATTGGTGTACACCTTTTGGGTCATTCATTTGTGTACAGTGATACAGTGAGGGTTGTGTACACCTGTACCCTCTCGCACTACCAGCTCCCACTGAAGACCCGTCACCGCGACACTGAAGTTGTTTGTGATGTTACATTGTCTTCACTTGTTGGTTGGTTCGGTGGTTGTACACTTAGTGGGTCATTTGTTTGTTTACACATGGGTGGATCATATGATCATGTAAACTGGATGGATCATTTTATTGTGTACACTTGGTGGGTCATTTTATTGTGTACACTTGGTGGGTCATTTGTTTGTGTACACTGGGTGAATAATTTGTTTGTGTAAATTGGATGGATCATTAGATTGTGTACACTTGGTGGGTCATGTGTTAATGTACACTTGGTGGGTCATTTGTTTGTTGTGTAAACTGGGTGGGTCATTTGTTTGTGAAAATTGTGTGCAGTAATGTAAAAATATCATTTTTGTAAGAAGACACACAAGCTAGGTATTTTTGTTAGTCTTTTCGGACTGGGGGAGGGGGGGGGGGAGTTAGGGCAAGTTCTACAAGTTTCAGGATAATTAAAAGCTGTGTGGACATGTAGTATAGAACATGCAACATCGGCGCTGATGTAATTGGGGGGGGGGGGGGGGTCAATGTGACATCCATCTGATGTAGAATGAAAGGTCAGGTAGTGTGTAGAAGGGCTGGGAAACGTGAACGGTGTGCAGCTGATACCATTCATATTCCTCTTGTTCTCTGCCTCAGTTTACTCCAGTAAAGTGTTTAGGTGCACACTGATAATTGTGCATATTTAGGAAGATCTCAACAAGAAAAGGGACATCCAATCTATCGGAAGTGAACAGTGTCTGGCCAGAGACGACTAACGCTTACTTGACCGGCATGGGCAGATCATTTTTTTTATGCCTCACGACGTAACAAACTTAATAATTATATGCACAAGCTTCATCCAAGTAGTTCATTCACCATTGTACTCATGTTGACTGTGCAGACTACAAAACATGTCATCCAAGAATATCCCTTGTACAGCCCATTAACAAAAGGAATATTGACCCAGTGAGTCAACACATACTCAAAGTTGTATGGAACTAAAAGGGAACTCCTAAAGAAGTCAAGTTTATCACAAGAACTTGTCTGTCAGTGTAAATCAGAAAGTGAACACAAGAAGAAGTGTCCCAACAACACTCACTAGACTCGCACCAGCTGGGGTATCAAGGTTCTACTTGGTGTAGCTGTAGAGAGGGGAAAATCTAATCCTTATTGCCTCATTATTCTTGTTGCATTCTCTTATCTTCTTACATATTTTTTTAATATTATTTCCTGCCAGTCTCCTTTACACACATATGATCTCTCTTTCTTTCTCTCTCTCTCTTTCTCTCTCTCTCTCTCTCTCTCTCTCTCTCTCTCTCTCTCTCTCTCTCTCTCTCTCTCTCTCTCTCTCTCTCTCTCCCTCTTTCTCTCTTTCTTTTTTTCTCTCTCTCTCAATATTTACTATCACAATATCTTTTCTTTATTTGTGTCCTTTCTGTATCTCCCCCTTCCTCTGTCCTTTTCTTCTTTTCTATCCTATCTCTCCCCCTTCCTCTGTCCTTTTCTTCATGTCTGTCCTTTCTATCTCTTCCCTTTCCCCCAACCCTGACCTCTCTTTTCTTCTGTAATTGTTTTTGTATTTTCAGAAAACCTTACTGTCTGTCTCTTACTCCCTTCTGCTTTCTAGACTCACTTCCTTCCTCCCCCCTACTTTTTTTTCTTTTCTTTCCCTGCAAATTTCTAGCTAATAAAACAGGCTACAATCTTTTTCCTAGGACATTGATGTTGTCAGCGTTCCAGATCACAGTGTTCTGAAACGCCAAGAGCTTCAACCAGGAACAGCCTATAAGTTTCGTGTTGCTGGGATTAATGCTTGTGGCCGTGGACCATTCAGTGAAGTGTCGGCTTTCAAAACTTGCCTGCCTGGGTTTCCCGGAGCACCCTCCGCTATTAAAATCAGCAAGGTAAATGCCAGTTGATAAATGGTCACCTAATGACCTACCATTGTCGTTGTTATTGTTCTTTGAACAGTGTCGCATTATACTTTTTCTTCAGCAGTCTTTGAGGTCCACCTGTCTCCATTCACCTCTATTATCAGCCTTCTCTTTTTACTTGGTGGTGATTCCAAGTGTTTGTAGGTCTGCCCGTATATTGTCTCTCCACCTTCTTCTTGATCTACCCCTATTCAGCTCTTGTTCCCTGTCCAAGAAATTTAGGGAGTGATTCTTTTTATATATATTCTGTTGTGGCAAAGAGAACACTTAATTTATTTTTGTGCGGTTGCGGAACTTCTGTAGTCATCAAAAGGGGAAAACAGTTGAAATCAGTAATATAAACTTAAATGCGTAAAAATGCAAAAATACAATCCAGATTTATCATAAACATTTTTTTAAAAATCTTTCAACCCTACTATAAATGGGAAAACAAGTGAACATTGTTACAGGAGAAATAGCAACCAGAAAATTCCAGACATCACTGTAAACTGGCCGAAACAAATTCCAGACATCACTGTAAACTGGCTGAAACGTATTTCAGCACATCAATCATTACACATCAGCTGTGAAGTATGATAATAATCCCATAATATTGTCACATTATGTGTGTATTTTTAGTTCAGTAACATATGCTAGTCAAATCTAGACAATCAAAAATAACAGGGATTTTGAGGTTTTGAACAAGGGATCAACATTATGGCACCCGGGTGTAAACCATAAGTACTCCATTGTTTTAACTCAAGTCTGGGTCCGAAGAAGCTCTGCACATTGCACCGGTTCTGTAGCACCGGGGAGGATCCTGAAATACTTTGGGTAGATTTTTAACTTCAAATTTTGATAGGCAGCGCCATTAGGCTACTCTTTCCGATTTCCAACGGCCAAGGGATTTTTCACGTGCGCAACAATGCACACAGACATCCGATCTTACTACCCAGAGACCGGGGGAGGGAATTATTAGAAGTCCAAGGCTACATGAAAAAATCCTAACCCTTACCGTTGATTGAACCCAGAACCTCTAGCACTCGAGGCCGACACCATGCCTCTAGACCACGCAGCCCCCAATAACAGGGAACAAAGGTTATGCATTTGAAAACAAATGATGGGGAAATGGAACATAAATAGGATGAATTCAAGTGGATTGAACAAATAAGAGAAATTTTGCGGCCACTGTTATCAGTAGTTACGTGACACAGAAAATGGCTCTATACTGGATACCCACTGAGAAGAAACAAGCAAAGAATCACCTGACGGGCACTGAAATGGGAAATAAAAGGATTGAGGTAGGTAGGGCATATAAAAGAAACCCTGAAAGGAATGTTGATGAGAGAGACCAAAGGTGCTGGACTGGATTACATCCTTAATATTGAACTGACTGCACAGTATAGAGCGGAATAGAGAAATTGACTGTGAGCTGTATGTGACATGTAATGGCACAACAGGAAAATGTATCTATGTTATTGTCTAGTGGATGTTAGTTGGTGATGTGTATCTGTAAGCCCACATAGGAGTTAACAGATCTATGTATGAACATTAGGTCAATGGCTAGAAACGTGTGATATTCAAACCAATTATTCATCAAGATTTTGACACCTTTAAAAAAAAACAAGGTAGCAGCAGGAATTCCCCTTCAAAAAAATCCTTAACAGACAACCATTTGACAGTTCAGTATTAATTTTGAAAAATTATTTATCTGCATTCAAAAACAATTCAGTAAAAGTCATCCTAAACACAGAATTAACCATTAAATGAAATACATCACCTCACCCCCTCACCCCATCCCCCCCCCCCCCCCCCCCCCCCCCCAATCCTTTTTTTTCCCTTCTCTAGCCCACTCAATTTTTTTTTTGTAACTCATACTTTCACCCTGTGGCATTATATTCACAAGAAAACCCCCAAATAATATTTTTAGTAAATATATTTTATTTCAAACATGGCACAGGGACAAACAGAACTAGGTTCCGTTAACAAGGTTTCCTGAGGACCGGTTAATGGCCAGTTAAATCGCATTTTTAAAAAATAAGCCACTGACAGACATGCCAGGTTTGCAGCTTCTTGTAGTGAAATGTTTATTTATTCTAATCACTTTGCCACGAATATCGCTTAAAAAATTTTTTTTTTTTTTTTTTTTTTTTTTTTTACTGGCAGTCACCATTCTAAATGCTGTCTGCACACTGTGTTTGCTTGATTGCCATATATAGTCAAGAATAAATAATTCCACTGTGTATGTGGCATTTGGCACCAAAAGTTAAATGTGGTATAGATTAGAGCTCTACCATGTAATGTTCCCATGGACAACAACAGACAGCACATTCTTTTAGCTTAAAGATCCCCTGTGTTGTTTGTTCACACCTAGCTTTTATCAAGGATTTTGTTTTTCTTTTTCAAATGTATAAACCTAACTTGCACTTGTGGCGAAGTGGTCTAGCCGTTTGCTCCTCGCTCTGAAGGTCATGGGTTTGTTTCACAGTTGTTGTGTTCAGTTCACACATGGAATTTTCACGAAGATCCCAGTGGATCATTTACTTAGTTTGTGCTTTGTGCAGCATTTTCGGCAGGCAGCTAGCTGTTTTGCAGAGAGACTGAGTTATATGGGAAAAACCTGATGCAGTGATGTTGACCCTTGACCTTAACCGATAACTTTCATATAAAGATTTATTGTTGCTTTGAATAACCCAAGCATGTATCTAACTATTTTGTTGCACTATTGGACAGAGCGCTGATGGGGCACATTTGTCCTGGGAGCCACCACAGAACACCGCTGGGAAGATCATAGAATACTCTGTGTACTTGGCTGTGCGCAACCAGAACCAGGAGACAAAGCCTGGGACCCCGGCTCAGCTGGCATTTGTGAGAGTGTTCTGTGGGCCTCTGCCATCCTGTGTTGTTACAAATGCTTCTCTAACCTCGGCTCACATCGATTACACAACCAAGCCAGCAATAATTTTCCGCATCGCCGCCCGCAATGAGAAAGGATATGGACCTGCAACACAAGTCAGGTGGCTGCAGGGTGAGTACTCTGACCCTTTAAGTTCCAGACAACTTTTCCATCCATGTCTGGATAATGTCAAAGATAATATAATTTTTTTAATCCATCTAGATGTGATTTTTGTTGAGACTTCAAATGAGTTTGGAATGGCTTGAGAATCAGCTGTACACACATGTCGTCACTGTAACTGACTCACAGAGCATGCTCAGAAAGGTGGAGATGGCATGCTCCGTGCAGAGTGGCAAGCATCACTTCAGAGGTCCCGGGTAGTTAGCATCCTTTAAATATTTTCTCCAGATGGCTCTATTGGAAAATGAGCAGGCGGATAGACTGGCCGGTTCTGCACCACTTGGGGGTGAACTGATATATGACAAGCTGGATGTTGTGAGGGCTTTTTGGGAGCGAGTGAACAGTGCTGAGGAACAGATAGATCATTACGGTCTGAGAAGAATGACACTGCGAGGAGTTACAAGGGGATCTGGCCGACGCTCGACACTTGGGGGAGGGGCGAGACGGATATACAATCAGACTGTTACCGGTACCATCAAAATTGTACCTCTTCACTTGCTGCTGAAGAGGGGGACGGAGTGTTCAGAGTGCTGTGAGGTCGATTATTAATTCAACATTCAACATTGTTGACTTCGATTCATTGTCTGGAAGACAAGACTAATTGATACTTACCATATCATTCATATTTTATTCCCCATTGGAGCAAAAATCCTCAATCAACTAAGTCCATGCCTTCTTATCCTTTGCTAAAATATTATTAATAAAAAATTGTTTTTTCCAACCTAATGGATCCATTCATAATTTGGTCATTGTTGCTTCACGGGGGAATTATTGTGTGGGAAATTCTTCTTCTGCCTCAGCATACCAGTCTGAATCAGACATGGGTGATCATGATTCTAGCCCTCCAATAGTTGGTTGAGGCATCTGTTACTTTCCTTATATTATTTATTGTCTTGCTGTGTAAACTGAGATACAATATATTGAGCCTTCATGGTGGGGGGGGGGGGGGGGGGGTGTTATGATTATGATACCTTAGTTGATGCCCTTTCACCTTTCTGTTTTTCCAGCTATAGTGTTATATTGTGATAAAGTGAGACATGAAAATCACAGCTGATAGCAAGTGTGACTAGCCAAGACCCACTTGCATTCAGAAAAGTCGTTCACAATTCGAGCAAGGAATAGGGCCATTGTATGTTGCTATAGCATATACTTAACCTGGTTCTGAGACACTCAGATCTCAACTTGTCTGTAAACCATTTTCTTACTGATCCTTATTCCCTTCCTTGCATCACGGTCAGTGGCATTCTGTTCCCCCCGAATCCATATCATTGTGTGTATCATTCATATCCACCATACATATATATTTATATCATAATAATATATTTAAGGTAGTAGAGATAATGATGATGCTGTTTAATCCACGCCCAGATGCCTCCCAGAGTCCAGCTGCAGGAGGAAAGACAGTGAAGAGACAGGGATCTGAGAATGTGTAAGTGCTGTGTGCTGTTGTTTTTCATAATTCCCTTTGCAGCTGTTTCACATTTTTCATGCTTTACAAGTACAAAAACACTGCTGAAAATAATTTGGATACAGAACCCAGGGTTTTGTTAGCTTCAGCTGCCTGCTTCTGTTGCCTTGTATTTCCTGAATCAGTTCAAACCAAGCAATTCTGTCCTCTGTCAGAATATTAACACAATCAGTTCAAACAAGAAGTTAAATTAGCCTGCTTCACTATAACACAGTCAAGAGCATCAATACTGTGGGCCTTTGCATTGGCAGATACACTCATGATTATAGACACTTTCTGGCCTCTGTCCTGGCAGATACACTCATGATTATAGACACTTTCTGGCCTCTGTCCTGACAGATACACTCATGATTATAGACACTTTCTGGCCTCTGTCCTGGCAGATACACTCATGATTATAGACACTTTCTGGCCTCTGTCATGATATCTGGCCTCTGTCCTGGCAGATACACTCATGATTATAGACACTTTCTGGCCTCTGTCCTGGCAGATACACTCATGATTATAGACACTTTCTGGCCTCTGTCCTGGCAGATACACTCATGATTATAGACACTTTCTGGCCTCTGTCCTGGCAGATACACTCATGATTATAGACACTTTCTGGCCTCTGTCCTGGCAGATACACTTATGATTATAGACACTTTCTGTCCACCCTGGCAGATACACTTATGAGTATAGACACTTTCTGGCCTTTGTCCTGGCAGATACACTCATGATTATAGACACTTTCTGGCCTCTGTCCTGGCAGATACACTTATGAGTATAGACACTTTCTGGCCTTTGTTCTGGCAGATACACTCATTAGCATAGATACTTTCTGGTCCTTTTCCCTGGCAGATACACTCATGAGTATAGACACTTTTTGTCCTTTGCTTTGGCAGATCTGCTCAGGAGTGTACATTTCCTATCTTTTTCCCTGGCAGAAATACTTATGAGCGTAGACAGTTTCTGGCCGTTGCCCTGGCAGATAAACTCATGATTGTACAAACTTCCTGTCCATTGCCTTGGCAGATACACTCATGATTGTACAAACTTCCTGTCCATTGCCCTGGCAGATAAACTCATGATTGTACAAACTTCCTGTCCATTGCCTTGACAGATACACTCATAAGCGTATACATTTACATAGCCATAACTTTCCATCAGAGTTTGCATCCAGTGAAAGTGAAGAAAAGGAGTACAACTTTGTGACCGCTTGTGTTACTGAGGTCCACAGTGTAAGCAAAGAATAGTGACACTGTAACCTACTATGTATGTCGTAGCTATAGGGAGGGAAGGGCATCAGACTCTACTTCCTCCCTATAGCAAACTGCAAAATTGAACCAATGATGACAAAGTCTACACAATGCTTGGCATCAGTTGGTGGAGTACCTATGCCCCATTAGTGTTGGCATTAAGATTATGCAGCTGTAACGCTTATTCCCTCCCATTCATCCTGTGTAGAAACATACAATGAGTGCATTTTATAATTGTTTGAAATTTTTTTATGAGTATAATTTACATGTTTCGATTTCAGAAAACCTGGCACAGTTGTGAAGAAGCTGAAAGTTGAGGATTCCGAGGAAGGTTAAAGCCAAGTCACCAATCAAAACAGTTTGTTTTTCATGCCAGAAAACCTCATTTCAAATCGTTTGACTGTGTTGATCTTTTGCCTAATTTTTATGCCAGTTCAATTTGAATTTTAAATCGCAGATATGCTTTTACCTTGACTTCATCCAATAAATTTTCTCCAAAAGCACAAATTGACTCACTAAAAATGTTTAAAGGGGGAAATACAAAATTAAATACAATTCACAAAAGAAACCAACATTCTTTTTTTTTTTTAAATCATTTTTTTTTTTCCAATCAAAACTTGGGGTTGGGAAGAAGAGAGCAGATCAGGATTGAGCTTCCATTAACTATTACCTGCATAATTGTAACATTCATCAGTTATTGGAAGAGATGTTTCCGTTGTTTCACTGTCTTATGTTATCTTGTTATTGTGAGTATACTTGATATTTATAATGTTTCATTGTTGTTATAATATTGGCTTTCTGGATGGCATAAAGTGACCTTCATTTTGCCTAATCATGCGACGGATATTATAGGGTTTTCAAACTCAGCATTGTTTTCCCCCTCATAAGACAGTTTTAATTGTAGATTTTAGGGTTTTAATGCGCGAGCTAATTTTCCATTCTGGTGAACTGTTTATTGGGTTTAGCTGCAAAATATTCATTTTCTGCAGCTACCTGCTTTTGACAGAATATGAGAGTAATGCTAGAAGTCACTTTGCTATCAGAAAAGATTGAAAGAGTTGTGTGTGTGTTAATATTGAAGTCATGGTTTTCACAGTTAAATTGGCCTTTAAAAGATTGTTTTGTTTCGTTTATTTTTTTGCATTCCACTTTTTATTTGGTTGGTCCCTAACATTTTGTTCTTCTGCAACCCAAATTAAAACAAAAAATAGCAAGGAAATATGCCTTCTAATAAATAATGGTAATGGATTATGCAATGTAGATAATTAATCATGATAACAACATTCAGCTGTTGATGTTTTTACTTAAAGGTATTATACATCTTAATTACCAGTCACCTGGTATGGAATATTTTTGAGGTAGTTTTCTGCTGTAGTTTATTTCAAAACGTTTTGTTTTTCGAGTCATTAATAGTCCGGGTATGGTCTGTTTGGCCCTTGGAGGAGGGAGGGGGGGGGGGGGGGGGGGGCTGAAATCATAATTTCATTTTTCTCTGGTGCAGTCCAGACCTGACATTTTCTGTTAGTATCTATGCCTGTGATGTTTTTTGTTTCTTTTTTCTCTTATTTTTATCTCTGAAGATCAATTCTATGGTATATCTGATTTTTGTGTATTCTAATCACAGAAGATCAATTCTGTGATGGGTCTGATTTCTCTGTATTCTGATCACAGAAGATCAATTCTGTTGTGTGTCTGATTTCTTTATGTTCTGATCACAGAAGATCAAATCTGTGGTGGGTCTGATTTCTCTGTATTCTTATAACAGAAGAACAAATTTCATGCTTTTTCCGATTTCTCTGTATTTTATACAGTATAGGATGATGTCTGCAATGTTCTGTTTTGGGTCTGTCTATATTTAATCACAGAAGTACAATTCCACTTATGTGATATGTGTTTGTTTCCTTCATTTTTGTATCCACAACATACAATTTTATATCAATCAGAAGCTCACTTTTCTTTAAAGCAATATGGGTTTCAGGGCCCTCATGTTGTGATAGTCAACCATCTAGGGTTGTATCATTCAAACTCTGAAAGACAAGGAACCAACAGCTTGCATTAAAAAAAAGCTTCCATCTGTAAAATGGATGTGCACACATAATTTAGGTTGTGGAGAAAAACTAAATTCCAGAAATGGACAGCCAGCCAGAACTTTCCACCAGAGTTTACAGCCGGAGAATAAAAAGAAAAGGAATCAGAATTGGAATATTTCGGATCTGAGCATTACCAAGTCTGCAGGGGTTATTCTAGATTTCTCTTACAAGGACACATTTCAGGTTGTGGGGATTGTTTATAAAATGGTTAAAATGTTTGTTGAACAAGCTTGTTGTATGATTGTTGGCATGTAGGAAATCATAATTTCATTTTTCTCTGGTGCAGTCCAGACCTGACATTTTCTGTTAGTATCTATGCCTGTGATGTTTTTTGTTTCTTTTTTCTCTTATTTTTATCTCTGAAGATCAATTCTATGGTATATCTGATTTTTGTGTATTCTAATCACAGAAGATCAATTCTGTGATGGGTCTGATTTCTCTGTATTCTGATCACAGAAGATCAATTCTGTTGTGTGTCTGATTTCTTTATGTTCTGATCACAGAAGATCAAATCTGTGGTGGGTCTGATTTCTCTGTATTCTTATAACAGAAGAACAAATTTCATGCTTTTTCCGATTTCTCTGTATTTTATACAGTATAGGATGATGTCTGCAATGTTCTGTTTTGGGTCTGTCTATATTTAATCACAGAAGTACAATTCCACTTATGTGATATGTGTTTGTTTCCTTCATTTTTGTATCCACAACATACAATTTTATATCAATCAGAAGCTCACTTTTCTTTAAAGCAATATGGGTTTCAGGGCCCTCATGTTGTGATAGTCAACCATCTAGGGTTGTATCATTCAAACTCTGAAAGACAAGGAACCAACAGCTTGCATTAAAAAAAAGCTTCCATCTGTAAAATGGATGTGCACACATAATTTAGGTTGTGGAGAAAAACTAAATTCCAGAAATGGACAGCCAGCCAGAACTTTCCACCAGAGTTTACAGCCGGAGAATAAAAAGAAAAGGAATCAGAATTGGAATATTTCGGATCTGAGCATTACCAAGTCTGCAGGGGTTATTCTAGATTTCTCTTACAAGGACACATTTCAGGTTGTGGGGATTGTTTATAAAATGGTTAAAATGTTTGTTGAACAAGCTTGTTGTATGATTGTTGGCATGTAGGAAGCTGTGTCAGTTGACACACATTCAAATATGTGCATCACTTACTAGATAATAACTTGCAACAGAGGACTGGGTAACAACAGGTAGCAAGGCAATAAAAAAAAAATCATCCTGCAAAATCCAGTCAGCCATTTTTTTTTTTTTCAAAGAAAAGAAACAGCCATTAAAAATGTAGGTTGATGTGAAGGTCATTTGGAGAAAAAAAATTGTTTTGAGATAAATATAGCAGAAATTAAAAAATATAGGACGGATTGGCATGTTCTTGACTGAGAGCCTTTGGTCCATTGGGGTCTTCTGAAAACTGTGTACAGGTGATTATTAAATGCGCCTTTATGTATATACACAGACAGGTGTATAAGTCGATGTGAATGCTTCAAAATGCCGGGGTACCAGGTTTGATCCCAGCTGCGGGCCATGTGCCTTGCGTTGGTTTTGACAGTGGTATCAAGAAAGCCGACCGTCCAGTAAGCAATGGCAAGCTACTGGACATAAATTTGCCTGGAGAAGCCACACAACAGCCAAGGGCTGCTGGGGTTGGTTCTGCAACATCCTATAAATGAAACACAACTAACATATATACTTTCTATATAAATACATAAGACCATCCTCATGGCTCTAAGATTGTGGTACAGGTGTTTCGCTGGGGATAAGATTGGGGCCTCACTGTGAGGTGTTCACAAAGATAACTGTAGTTACAGTCAGCCTGGGTTGTGGGGACAGAATCATTTATTTTAAGATTGTTGTGCTGTTATTTTGTTTCTTGGCGTTGATTCAGTGTTTTGTTCCATTCAGTGACAGTGATCTTAAAGCAGGGTGTTGTGTGACTGCTGTCTCAATATTATTGTTTTCAGTAAGGTTGTTCATGTGCTTGCATTTTCATATAAGTGCATTTTGTTCATGATTGATGTATTCCTTGTTGCAATCCCGCCATCAAATGAATTATTTTATTGCTTCTTTTTTGTTTTTAAATTGTTATGTTATAAAGTTCCTGAATGGGTCAGTGTGTTGTTACTTGCTGAGACTAATTTACTGCTGTGGTCAGTTCTGGTACTAGACGGTGTCAGAAAAGATACCATTTCGCTTCAAATGGTTCACAGCAATGAAAATGTAATGGTGGGGGATTCCCCTTAAAAAAGTTGTGAAAAGTGGTTTCTTTGTGTGCTTCTCTCTCCCCCCCCACCCCCCCCCCCCCCCCCCCCCCCCCCCCCCCCCCCCCCCCCCCAGCCCCCCCCCCCCCCCCCCCCACCCCCCCCCCCCCAACCCCTTCCCCAATCACAGCACCACCTTGATACATGACAAGGCAGATGTGGTCAAGGCCCTTTAGGAACAAGCAACGGAATCAGTAGAGAAACAAGATTTTTATGGCCTGGAGAGAATGAGGCACCTGAGTGTAACCAGAGGGTCTGGCCGGCTCACTACACTCAGAGGTAAGGCAAGACAGACTTTAAGCCAGATTGTGACCGGTACCATCAGTATTGGAACTCTGTGCTGGCTGCTGAAGATGAGGACGGAGCATGCATGGGAATGCCCCAAGTGCTGTGATGTCAATTCTTGACTCAACTCAACTCTGCCTTCTGGAGGAGTAGCTTTCCAGAATGAGATTGCAGGCTGGTCATACAAGGAGACCAGGTTTTGAATATGGTGTCTGTCAGGGGCACAGCTAACAGTCCTAGTCTGCATAGTTCATTACCACTGCATTAGCCATGTTACCCTAAATCCTCAAATTCAAGGCCTCCTCCTTCTACTCCTAACTTACCTTATATTAAATACAAGCAGTTTAAAAATTATTTTGTTTTGTAATTTTATTTTGAAATGATTATGCAAATGAACAATATTCTAGAGAAGAAAATGTTTGAGATATATCATATTTCTGACTTCTGCCTGGTCCGCCATGCCTTGATCATATCAGCAGTTGTGTTGCCTGCTGAACTATAAGCAGCTGCTCCTTTTGGAGACAGGAGTCACACATGCTGAAGAATTGACACTTGTTGTGAGGAACATAATATCGGCATACAATTCACACACTGACATGCTGCAGAAGATCTACAGTACTTCTGCCTGCTTATATCCCAACCAGTAGGCTTTGGGCATTTAGGATATTTACAAATTTATGTGT